GATTACTGTTAATTTATTATGCTGATCTGTTCTGTACGACATCTATTGCATGTCTGTCTGTCCTGGAAGAGGGATCCCTCCTCAGTTGCTCTTCCTGAGGTTTCTACCGTTTTTTTTCCCCGTTAAAGGGTTTTTTTTGGGGAGTTTTTCCCTTATCCGCTGCGAGGGTCATAAGGACAGAGGGATGTCGTATGCTGTAAAGCCCTGTGAGGCAAATTGTGATTTGTGATATTGGGCTTTATAAATAAAATTGATTGATTGATTGATTGACACACCAGCCACTGTCATGTGTTGTTTTATTACAAAACAAACATCAAAATGAACAAAGAAAGTCAGACAATAAAACACATCAAGGGGAAAGACAAAATAAAATTGTAACATAATTATAATGATAGCTGAAACTCCAGACTGCTGACGGCAGCAGAGCATTACTTTCTTCTTCTGCACAGTTGGAAACGATAATCTAAACTCATAAAAGTATTCAGGAATATTTAAGTCGCTAACTTCATCTTGGGTTGACCTGGACATTTCTAATAAAATGTGTTTGTATTTAAAAACAGCAAATAAAAAGTGAGTCTAGCACATCAGGCTAATCGTTTAAATGCAGCCATGAATAAAATACACATCTTCCTATTAAGAGATTCTCTGTGACAGCTTCTGACTCCAGGCTGCTTTTGTCGATATAAAACAATAACAATGACATATCTGCAAAACTGCCCCCGCCCTCCTCTCCCGAAAAAAGCATTTATATTAACATTACATAACCATTAAATAAGAAAAACCAGAGCACAGAAACAGGAATGACAGAAGTGCCGTCTCATGTGTGAGTCAACAATTACAAATAAAAAGTGAAGTGGACACAACACCTCCATCATTCCAAATATGATGAAACATAATAAAATAATTCTTTACATTACATCAAGGCCATTTTGCTTGAGAGCTTCACATCAAAGGTGCACATAACTGTCAAGAAATTTGCGCTAAATCACTGCGTTCAGCCCACTTTTCTCGTCTTAGAATGAAACACCACTCGACATCTTTTCAGTATCTGACACTCTCTGCCTGTAGGCTGAGAAGCTGGCTTCCAAGGATGGACAGCAGGCACTTTTATGGATGTTTTGATGCTTTTTTTGCTGCTGTGAAAACCTTCATGAATACAAATCAAGCTGCTGTTCTGCTTAAGCATGGAGAAGGAGCATTCAGTTTTTATGCACGACGTATCTGGAGCAACTTTCAGTTCTTTTAAATCAAGGCTGAAGACTTTTCTGTTTGCGCTGCCTTTTATTAAATCAAATATTTGCTCATTTCTTACACTGCAATGTAAACTTTATTCTTGTATTTTACACCTTTCTTAATGTTTCCTGCTCTCTTGGCTCTTCAATGACTGCTTTTATTTGTACTAAGGGTCTGAAATTAGCACCTGCCACCCATCAAATATCGGTAAACTGTCGGCGGTGGCAGGCAAAATCATCAGCACACTGTGTCAGACAGAAAACGCGCAACACTCAGTACAGTTAGCGTACGATTGGATGGAGCTACACATTTGAAAATCGCTTGCAACTGCCTTGTAAAAGCTGCACTGTTGGCAGTAACTAGTTTTGACTGACAGTTAAAGTTCCAAAACACTGCAACGGTGAATATTTTGCGGTTTCGTTGCTGGCCCAAGCTAAATATTCTCTGTATGAGTTCAAATGTACTGATAGTGCTGCATATTTTTTGCACATAGGTGTGCATGTGTACAGTACCCTTTGACTTCTGAAAGCTCCAGTGTAAATCGTACACTCAATCGAATTTGTCATGCATGGAAATCTTTTTGAGGATATTGAATGCCAGCATTCTTTATTGCATTTATAGCATTCTTCATGCCTAAGTGATTTAAAGGGACAGTTCAGACTTCCTTTAGAAGTGGGGTTGTATAAGGTCATCCAAAGACAGTATGTTACGTACAGTAGATGTCTGTCAGGATGCCCTCAGTTTGGAGAAGAAGGCTGGAGTCCAAGATGTAAGCTCAGCAAACTACTGCTTTGGCGGTGACAGCAACAAAACGTATTTTAGCCACCTATAAAAATCATTATTAGTGTAAGAGTATGCTGTATTAAGAATATTTTCACTGATTTACCTCAATGTCAGACATGATAAAGCAGTTCTATCTCTCTCTTCAAAGCCAGACTCTATTGAGAAAAACATCGATTTAAATGTGCTGAATACAGGAGCTGCTCGTCTACCACTGCCCCGAACAATTGTTTTTTTTTCAGTGTGTGGTATTGTGTGACTTTGGCGTTTAAAAGAGTTGGTTCACCGAAATCACACAGTAACACAAACTAACTAACCGATCGAAGCAGTGTCAGACCAGCAGCTTCTGTGTTAGTGAGTTAAAATAGCTGTTTTTGTCAGTGGAGTCTGGTGACTTCGACGAGAGCGTAGATAGGGAACTTTAGCTGATTACGGCCACCTTGTTGAGGTAAAGCCATGAAAATACTCTCAATATAGTGCACACTTCAACTGATATAGATTGTTTTAGGTGGCTGAAATACATTTTGTTGCTGCCCCCATCCACATACGTAGACTGATTAGCTTCTGTGTCAAACTCATGCCTGCCTTTCCAAACTGGAAGCGTACCGACCACCATCTACACTGACAGTATCTCATACAAACCCACTCCAAAAAAATCCAGACCATCCCTTTAAATGTTATTACTTCATTTAGTGCATGGATTTTAAAAGTTAAAAAATTCTAGAGCAGCACACAAAAAAAAAGACTTGCCTCTCACATTGTCTCGATGCTTTTCAAACTGCGCTGTTGCTCAAACATGCTACATACATAAACTTGCCTTGAGTGAATTTCTGAAGCCGCATTGCAAAGCCACAGCAGGTGAGTGTTCGATAATGAAAAATGTTTTGGGTGGAGTTGATCTGAGAGGTGACCATTTCAGGTCCAGACTCTGACAGGAAGCCATCTTACATGTTGCATCATTTTCTCTAATATGCGTCTCAAGCAGAAGTAAGTACTTCCTGTTTAATCTACTTCGGTTTATCTGCCTATGTACAACCTATATACAATCACATTGCAAGTTTGTATGTAAATTAATTTAAAATGTATATGCGTCTGTGTGAGTGGGTGAGTGTAGGTAGGCATTTTTTAAACGTATTGGCCCACGACTGGCTGCTCCTCTTTGCTCTTTAGATATTCTGCAAATGCAATCATTCGTTTGTTGATTGTAAGGAGCATATCAGCTGTAGATGTCCGTCATTCTTACAGTTCCTAAATTGCTGTGATGCTGCACCCTTACGTCTAAATACAGCAGCCCGGTGAGGTTGTATTCGAATGACGCATCACTTCAAATGGTCATTCAAATTCAAGATGACTGACGTGGTGCTTAAGTATCCTATTTTGCTCCACAGTACAACGCTAGCATTGTAAAGTGTATGAGGTAGATAAGAAGAGACACTACTCAGCACTGTATGGTTAAAAGCAAGCCAGTCCATCTGTTTGCATCCTCCAACACAGCCATGCCTAACAGACCTCGGCTGTCTGCTCTTGAACACCCCGACGCCCCTTAATTGAAGCCTGCAAGTTTAATGAGACATTACACAGTTATTGTAGCACTCACATTGCCGTGTGCCAATAATGATTGTACAGCTCAGTATCCTACAGCTAATCAATGCACTGCCGCATTGCATTAATTTAAACAGCTATTAGATAATGGTCCCTTTTCCCTTTGGGGCCTATTTAACCTGATTTTCCTTGTTGTGTAGCTTTGTTAGGAATGAGGCAGTGAGCCCGCGTGGTACCATTTATGACCAGAAGGTGGCGAGATTGTGCTGCAACAATGAAGCTAAGCATCAAAGGAGCAAATATGTAGCCTGAAGTGTTTGTGTGGATGCAGGGCTGACATATGTAGCTGTCTGTGTGCGGCGGTTTGAGGAAAAGTCTTTGTATTCATGGCCCTCGCTCAGGATGAGTGTGTGAATGAGTGACAGTTACATTGGTGGATGAGCCTGTTTACGTCTTTGAATGTATAACAGCAAATTACAGAGTTCATTGAATTGTGAGTAGCCCTAGTGTGTGTGTGTGTGTGTGTGTGTGTGTGTTCAGGAGGCAGCGATGGTCGTGCCCCCGCTGAGGCGCAGCAGGATCTGCTGACAGTCCTGCAGGGACCGTCGGTCTCCCACCCGCTCCAGGGTGCGCTTGGCTTCGGCCAGCAGGCGCGCGCGGTGTCCAGGCGGGGTTAGCAGGGGCATGGGCAGGTGGCGGCAGGCCAGCAGGATGGCGTGAGCCCTCTCCCTCTCACCCAGTACGCAGTCACCTTCTGACAGCAGCAGGGGGAGGAGGAGAGGAGCAAAAGTGCAAGTTAGTGTCCAGTGCCGTCTGATATATGTGTGTGTATCTTGTTGAGGGTCATGTGGCCCTCCAGGGACTGTTTGGAGTCAGTTTTTCTATTTCGCCATTAATAGTTAAGATTAAGAACGACCACAGGGGAGCTGATCCTGAGCCAGCAGTCAAGGTGAACTTACACTCTGAGTTTGTGTGTGTGGATACTGGTGATGCGTGGTTTGCAGTTACAGCTGGTTAATCCCCGGATCGGACGGGTTGGGTAATAAAAATTAACATTTTAATTAAAATGTATTTCGCTGGTGAAAAAAATGCATTTTTTTTAATATAAAGCCAGGACGTCTATGCAGCAGAAAGACGCACAAACTTTTGACATCAGTGCTACATGATCAGAAGAAACAGAGAAAAAGGGGATGGGGCATTTGTTTTTGCCCAAGAGGTAGAAAACCCACAACTAACAGAACGTTCGGCGTCGCCCCGGACCAATAAACCCACTGGTGGGTGACGACAGGCGAGATACCCATCTGAAAACAATATGGCAGCTGGCTGTTTACAAATGCTCTCGAATTACAGTGCACTAAGATATGTTTCTGAAAACATTTTAGGCGGATTATATTTGATTAGCTCCTCTACCATTTGATCTGAGAGAAAATGGGTGGCGGCTCTCTCTCTCTCGATCCACTTCTATACTCTTTTGTGTCCACGGTGGCAGGTGTACAAAAATGAGGAGGTACAAGCTGTAGTTTGAGTCAAAGCTTCACATACTACCCATACTGTTATGATACAAAGCTGCATGAAAATCAGCAAAGAGTCCCTTTAATCATACTGAGTTTATCAAATAATTGCAGCGACCACTGGAACACAAAATGTAAGAGCGTCCACATTAAGAGAGACGCTGTGCATATTTACACATGAAGAACAGAAGCACAATTTCAATTATTAATTCAGAAGATACAAGCCTGTCTCCTTTGTCAAGTTTATAACTATAGCTTTTATGTCCCAAAGTGACATTACTGTGTGCATGGAAACATTTACAATAACTGAAAGCAGCCTGTCTAATTGTTTAGGTAAACTGTTTAAATTAACACTCATACATCAATAAAATACATAATTTAAAAGCAACATAGCCTCCAGGGACTAGTACTGTAGTAGGGAGTGAAATATCCATGTGATTGCAGATCTATAAATCTAGAAAATAATTTATTCAGGTGGGTGGATGATTTATGGGTCCACGTAGATTTGGATGACATCTGATCCATGTATCACTCGTGGATACGATTCTGTGACAATGAAAATGATGTCTGTACTTAAAAGAATACTTAAATTAGGGAAGGCCTTTAAGAGGAAGCTCTCTATTATAAGGACGCCCTGATTAAAGTATTAAAGTACTCGAACCGGCAATTTGAGATTTTAAGAGGCGTAGTGTTTGGATAACAATGATTTGGGGCTTCTAATTTTGTTTTTGAGGAATACTTAACCCCCCAAATATAATAGGACACTAATAATATATCAATTACTGACCACGTGTCACCTTGACTTTGTGAAGAACATGTTGTTTTTCTTGCATGCCTCCACAGTGAACGGAGAGTCCAAAAAAGGCGAACATTTTTCATGAATTGAAGTAAACAAGGACTGCATGTAACAACAGCAAAACTACATCACGACATTCGTTTATAAACTCTCAAACAACTCCTACGGCATAATCTAAGTCTCCTTCATACAGTTGTGTGCTCAGTACTTCCCAAACACACGGGATTTAAAAACACTTTCACCTACCAAAAGCGCCCCCTGAGCATGCCTGAGCACATAGGTGCTTTTAACAGGATACAGAATATTTTTATTATCGCCGAAGGGCAATTTGTTGTGCTGTCAGCAGTATCATACAGAAATGGGAAAAAAGCAATAAATACATAAATAAATACAAAAAGATGGCACACTGAGTTAGTTAAAAAAAAAAAAAAAAAAAAAACATGTGAAAGGTTCAAGTGAGATTTAAGCAGGCAGTGGCTTTTGGGACAAATTAGTGTTTATGCCTATTTGTCCTGCAAGCTGGCATCCTAACTCTGTGGCCAGATGGAAGCTGCTGCTTGGCCGCGCATGAGACTGTACTGATGTGCTTTGGGAAAATGCATGTGTTTGGGAAGCACTGAGCATAAAACTGGACAAATGAGACATGGATTTTACTCCATGAGTTGTGTGAGATTTTGAAAAAGGATGTTAAAGTTTTGCTGATGTTAAACGCTGACGCCATTTACATCGATTCATCGAGTATGTTCGCCTTTTTTGGATTCTCTGTTAACCGTGAGGTCTTATGACAAAAACAAAGTTTTCTTCATGAATCTTGCCTGGGAACAAGATTTAAACACTTCATTGTGTGTGGGACTCTATCTTCAAGCTGGTTAACTCATCATCTCTCTGTGCTCGCCACTGTCTATTACAGTAAAAAGTCATGCACAGAGCCCATTTGTCTGAAGTCAGACTTTTATGTATTGACCCAGATGTGAACACCAGTTGTGACAAATGTTCAAGAGGTGAGGCTTCTCCGATTCACATGTACTGGATGTGTCTGAGCCTTGAAAAATACTGCAAGGACATTTTCCAAACTTTATCCTCGATCCTCAGCTGTGATCTACAACCCAGCCCTCTGATCGCCCTCTTTGGCACCACCGGAGAGGATGATGTATACCTGACTCAGAGCCAACGCAGCACACTGTCTTTTACCTCTCTGCTGGACAGACGGGCAGTTCTTATCTGATGAAGGGATGCTGCCCCGCCCACACATGCCCAGTGGCTGAGGGACATTATGTTCTGCCTTAATCTTTAAAAGATACGCCACTCAATTTGTAACTCAGATAAAAACATTCAAAAGGTTTGGGAGCCGCTTTCTGAAATACTTCCAGAGCTGGAGATGGAGAATCGTCCCACTGACGATATTGCGGCTGATATTTGAGGTTAGTGGAATGAGGAGGTTTGTATTTAGATTTCATGCTTTGTTCCTTGTCATATCCTCCTGAGACCTGAACTTTAGTTTGGTATGCATGTTTAATTTCTTCAAGCTATTTGGGATCAATAGGACCTGATAAGAATAAAAAACTAAACACTGTCAACGATAATAAAGTCCCAGTGTCCTCAAACTTTTTGCTAAAATTGGTCAAATTTGTTGCCATATCAAACTACAAACATTATTAATCATGAATAAACAGGTTTCAACCATAAAATGTGATCAGGTTTTGGACCTTGTCCACTTTTGTGTCGGGATCGGCTGCAGACTGATTTGGCAGAGATGGCTGCCATCTTGTTTTTAAATGGATTAGTGTACTGTGCTCTTACTGCCACTAGATGGCACAAAAAGTGTCCATGAACGAGGACAACAGGTCTAAGTTGAGTAGAATGATCAAGTAAACCCAAATATTGATGTCCTCATATGAAGACACAGGTTATCAGGAGGAAATTCATGCTCTCAGTTTGATACCTGGTGTGAATATATATTGTGTGTACTTGTTAAAACTGAATAAAAATATTGTGTGTGTCAAGGTGAGTTTGAGTCTCCCTTACCGGCTGTGAAGGAGTTGTGTGTCCTGCGTCGGAGGTTGTGCTCCAGCAGCTGGTGTGTCCTTGTAGGACTGGCTCCAGCCATCAGCCTCACTGTGGTCTCATGAAGAAACACCTGCGGGGAGAAACAAGCTCACATCAGAGCCGCAATGATTGTCATCATCAAGTATTTATAGGTGTTTGTCTGAGTGATGCTGGAGCAGAAAAACTTTGATCCTCCACATCATTTCACCCCACACACAGCATACGATATGTAAGAAACACTCTGCCTTTCATGCGAAGCCTCTCGCAGCACCACAAGTGAATACCTCTCAGTCAGTGGTCTCACAACAGAGCCTCATAAAATGATGCAGCCATGTGGTTCTTAAGAGTCTTTCACAAGTCAAAACATAACGAATGATCGCCAACCGCTGTGAAAGCAGTAGTTGTTAAAGACCCTCTGGCTACAGTAATGACAACTCCAGTAAATCTTACAAGTATGATTGATGATGTATTAAAGTGCGGTGAGATTTCTGCAGCTGGTGAGAGTGGGAGAGAACTTGATTTCCAATGGAGTATTATCAAAAACAAGATTAGCAGGTCCCAGCTGATCTCTGGGCTTATCATCAGTGCAGCGCAGAGCGTCATGTTAACATGACGAGCCAACAACATATTGAGGGTATTATTACTTTTTGTGTATCGCTTGTTACAGATTTACAGATCTGGAGAGTTGCCTGCTTTTCAATGTTATGTCATTATAAACTGATAAATTGTTTTATTTAGCTGAAAGCAAGACAATGAAAGCTGATTTAGTGACTAATGTAACATCTTGTTATGGCAATTTCTCCATAATTTTGAGGATTAAAGAGCTACAAGATCAATAAACTGGTTAAGCTGCCAGGCTGCCCCCACCCCCGCCCCCCCCGTAATTTCTTTGTGCAGCTGTTGACACCTTCTTAGACATAAAAAATATGATGTAACTAGTGCTAGGTAGTGTGACCAAAAGTTGTCTCCTTCTTGCATGGCTGGGCCTTTATACAGGATTATAGTAGCTTATGAAGGCTTTGTATAGGGCTTGCCTGTTCCCACAATGATACCATATATCCGAATATATCAATCAGTTGCAGGATGTCAACAATTTTTGTTGTGCAAACTGCAACGAAGTGAAAACAAAAATAGATATGAACACAGAAAGTGTTTTAGCAGCTGGAGGCAGCGTTTTCTAATTGTTTTTAATGAGAATGAAGCGTTTTGCTTTTTTGCGTTGTAATGCGCCTGATGTTTCTGCGCTCAAAGCACCTGGTGTTTTTGCTGGGATGCTCTGAACTCCTCGAGGTGAAAAAATTCAACTCAGAGCAGAAAAAAGCCCCATGTCATCTCTTTTCTTACAGCTGGTAAACAATGGAGGAGAAACTGGTGGTGCACGTTTAGTCGTCTAAACGATTAATCGTCCGTCCCCTTGCTAGTCAGCAGCAGAAATATTAGTCGGTTAAACCAATTAGTGTTTTATTCATGTACAAGGCAGCTTAACTGTCACGCAGCCACCAGCCACTAGTGGGGGCTACAGAGCCATCAGACAGCAGTCCACCTCACTGCGGTAATGCTCAAGTAGACTGGAGTTTTAAAACAGCACGGTGGGAAATTGGAGAGACATCCTCTCAAGAAACCAGCGCGGTTTGGCAGTACTTTGATCTAGAAAATGAATTCAGCAGCAATGAATCTTTTTTGAGACGTTATATTATTTGTTATTATTTGTTATTATTTGTTAACTTTAACTTTTCATACTGCACAGAGCAAAATGCCTTAATTATAATTTAGATGTTGTTTTATCAACTTTAAAGTGAATCGCTATAATTTCTGTCAGATAATCTGCAAGGTTCAATGTGCCCCACATTTCAGAGGCAATTTATTTATTTAAGATGTTATTTTAGTGGTTAACCTTTGACTGTGTTGCTGTCATGTTCACGTTCATACCGCACAGCACAAAGTGTCTCGTACTTCAGCAGCATTTAAAATCCGATACGGTTGTTGAAGATTGTGATTAAAGGTTTCAAAGGGCCCTTAATGCACACAATATTTTTTGGGACAACGTTTCAAATACTTAACAATAAATTGTGCTAAATTTTGACTGTTTACTGAGTGGTTGACTAGTTGACTAGTCTTAATTAAAATTTTTGTTTAGTCGACAGGGAAATTAGTCACCAGCCTGACGATAGATAGCAGGTTGTCAAACTGCCCCCGAGTTGTCCTAAAATATGCCTGGACTAACTGGTGGTACTCCCTGTGATCCAGCCTCTTTTTTAGGGTCTCATGTACCCACACAGATCTCCGTTTACCTGCTGACAGCCTCTCACCCTCAACCAGAGCTACAGACAGTACCCTCTGCCTCAGCATTTTAGGAACTAGATACTAACTACTCGGGAAAAAACGGCACAGCAAGTTGTTGTTTTTTTTTTTTTTTTTTACTAGTATCATTCAATTAAGAAAAAGGCAGTGTGGTGCGCCTTGCATTTTGAAACCTGCAAAACTCTTTCTGTGTGATCAGGGCCTAACAACGCTTTAATAAAAAAAGAACGCAAAAAAGGGGACGACTGTACGTAGCTCCTCTTCAAGCTTGCTTTGGCATTGTTTAATAATGTATGAGGTTGTGATAGCAGTTTAGCTGTAGTAGTTGAATTATTTTCGCTCCACTTAGACAAATCCAGTGTTTTAATTCTCGACTGTCTGTAGTGGGACCGTGTCCTTGCATAGGTGGATTGTTAATGTGTTTCTTAATGGCGCTCCACTGCTTTTTATTCCTAACATATGCAGTGCCTTCAGCAAATTCAACCATTGTCTGACCTTATGGCTTCACTGTTTCACTGGCTGACGGCCTTAAATCCGAGGACCATGATCATATCTCTCTGTATTCCACCACATGTTTCTGCTGAGGTGATGGAGGAAGTCCCTATTGTTTGCACCACCAGCAACAACGGTGGCTCAACAAACCAATGTCATGTTGGATTAAAAACAAACAAACAAAAAAAACATAATAATTTCCAAAGGTCTTCCAGTGCATAACTTCATCCTCCATCTCTCTTTTCTGTTCTTGTACTGTAGCGATGAAGCTAAAGTGTGTCACAAATTGTTGTGTGCCATGTTTTTTTTTTCTTGTAAAAGAGAACTTTATTTGCGATATTAATTATTTTATAGGTTATAACTGTTAGTAAGAGGAGTGCGCAGTTAAAAGGGATGCCCTCTCCCACTCTTCACAGCCAGCCTGAAGTGTGGCAATCTTTGTGACTGCCTATTAAAGAGCTACAGCAATTGCTTCAGCTCTGCTCTGGTATGGAGGTATATGAAAAATTCATATTGTAAGGGGAAATAAAACCAGTATAACAGATGAACCAGTACATCATACAGCACTAAACACTGTTCTGAATTCCTTTTACTGATTCCTGAGCGCATCTGACTTGAACGTACCTTGTGTTGCGCCTGTCTGTAGCACTGTGTGAGCTTTCTGAGCGCGCTGAGGTCCCTCTGGAAACCAGCCAACTGGGATCCAGGAGCCAGGCCAGGCTCTCCATTACTGCTGCCTCCCCGCTGCCATAAACTGGTCCTCAAGGTGAGCAGAAGGTCACAGATCAGGAGCTCCACTCCCTTGGAAGAGAAAGAGGACAAAGTGCTATTTGGTGTGTTTACATATGATGCAATTTCTTAAATTAAAAACAGACTTTTAGGGGATGCCTTTGAGCCCCAAAGTGTGACTCGAATACCTAAAAAATTACAACCACAACCCACCAACGACGACCAGCCACCATCAATACCAGTGCATCTCGCCCGACATGCAAGCCAAAAATTAAAAGCAGCGACATGATCTTGAGTGCTGTTTAATGTGAAGTGGTGGCGTGTGTAGCGGGTGCGTGCAGACTGGGGAGGCCTCTGTACTGCACTGCAGACACATTGCACTCGGCTTCAGGATCATGCAATGCAACTACAATGCACCACAGCCACCTCCTGCCACCCACACTGCCCACACACACACAGCCCCACGTCAGCCTGACCCCAACTGAGCAGTGTGTGTGTGTGTGTGTGTGTGTGCGTGTGTGTGTGTGTGTGTGTGTACGCATGATGAACCCCTGAATGCATCGACTTCAGTGAGGGCAGATAATTTAATATTAAACATACAGCATAAGACAGGTGTTTGTACTGTATATACAGTACAGGCCAAAAGTTTGGACACACCTTTTCATTCAATGCGTTTTCTTTATTTTCATGACTATTTACATTGTAGATTCTCACTGAAGGCATCAAAACTATGAATGAACACATGTGGAGTTATGTACTTAACAAAAAAAGGTGAAATAACTGAAAACATGTTTTATATTCTAGTTTCTTCAAAATAGCCACCCTTTGCTCTGATTACTGCTTTGCACACTCTTGGCATTCTCTCCATGAGCTTCAAGAGGTAGTCACCTGAAATGGTTTCCACTTCACAGGTGTGCCTTATCAGGGTTAATTAGTGGAATTTCTTGCTTTATCAATGGGGTTGGGACCATCAGTTGTGTTGTGCAGAAGTCAGGTTAATACACAGCCGACAGCCCTATTGGACAACTGTTAAAATTCATATTATGGCAAGAACCAATCAGCTAACTAAAGAAAAACGAGTGGCCATCATTACTTTAAGAAATGAAGGTCAGTCAGTCCGGAAAATTGCAAAAACTTTAAATGTGTCCCCAAGTGGAGTCGCAAAAACCATCAAGCGCTACAACGAAACTGGCACACATGAGGACCGACCCAGGAAAGGAAGACCAAGAGTCACCTCTGCTTCTGAGGATAAGTTCATCCGAGTCACCAGCCTCAGAAATCGCAAGTTAACAGCAGCTCAGATCAGAGACCAGATGAATGCCACACAGAGTTCTAGCAGCAGACCCATCTCTAGAACAACTGTTAAGAGGAGACTGCGCCAATCAGGCCTTCATGGTCAAATAGCTGCTAGGAAACCACTGCTAAGGAGAGGCAACAAGCAGAAGAGATTTGTTTGGGCCAAGAAACACAAGGAATGGACATTAGACCAGTGGAAATCTGTGCTTTGGTCTGATGAGTCCAAATTTGAGATCTTTGGTTCCAACCGCCGTGTCTTTGTGAGACGCAGAAAAGGTGAACGGATGGATTCCACATGCCTGGTTCCCACTGTGAAGCATGGAGGAGGAGGTGTGATGGTGTGGGGGTGTTTTGCTGGTGACACTGTTGGGGATTTATTCAAAATTGAAGGCACACTGAACCAGCATGGCTACCACAGCATCCTGCAGCGACATGCCATCCCATCCGGTTTGCGTTTAGTTGGACGATCATTTATTTTTCAACAGGACAATGACCCCAAACACACCTCCAGGCTGTGTAAGGGCTATTTGACCAAGAAGGAGAGTGATGGAGTGCTGCGGCAGATGACCTGGCCTCCACAGTCACCGGACCTGAACCCAATCGAGATGGTTTGGGGTGAGCTGGACCGCAGAGTGAAGGCAAAGGGGCCAACAAGTGCTAAACACCTCTGGGAACTCCTTCAAGACTGTTGGAAAACCATTTCAGGTGACTACCTCTTGAAGCTCATGGAGAGAATGCCAAGAGTGTGCAAAGCAGTAATCAGAGCAAAGGGTGGCTATTTTGAAGAAACTAGAATATAAAACATGTTTTCAGTTATTTCACCTTTTTTTGTTAAGTACATAACTCCACATGTGTTCATTCATAGTTTTGATGCCTTCAGTGAGAATCTACAATGTAAATAGTCATGAAAATAAAGAAAACGCATTGAATGAGAAGGTGTGTCCAAACTTTTGGCCTGTACTGTACATGTATATGTGTGTGTGTGTGTGTGTGTGTGTGTATAAGGCAGCAAACATGATTACATAATAACTGCTCTAATCACAAACCCAGAGCAGATCTTAAGGAAATAAGTGTTTGGAGTGTCGTGATGGATTCTTTGTCCGCTACCTTGTTCAGCAGGTCCCCAGTCTGGGCGAGGGGCACTGAGATGCTGGAGCGCAGGTAGCTGCTGGCTCTGTCGCAGTGAGACAGGCAGGTTATCGCTCCTTCTCCCTTCAAAGGGGACAGACTCATCTGAACTGCCTTGCAAAGCAGCAGCACAGACTTGGGCAGATGGTGGCTGAGGCAGAGAGGAGAGAGAAGGACAGTGAGGACAGTTACTTTGGTTTCTTCGAGTTAAAGTTCAAGTTTAGTTTATTGTCATACATATTAAAAAGTATAATGTATTTTCAAGTGCAACACAATGCATCTGCTGTGGCTCTCTCAGCCCTTAAAACTACATATCAATGTGAGTAAATAAAAGACAACAATAATAAGAAATCCTACAACATTTTAAAACATTAAAAGTGCTTTCTGTGTGTCACATTTTGCAGACAAAACTCCTGCACACTGTCTAACTTGCAGAAAAGACTGCAGCGCTTCAGTGACTAGACCTTCATTAGGTATCAGGTTTGCCTAATGAAGGTCTAGTCACCCAAACGTTGCAGTTTTTTTTGCAAGCTAGACAGTGTGCTGGAGTTTTTTCTACAAGTGGTGTTCTGCTCGTCCCTCTCCTACACACCTGTTTGGAAATGGATGTGCGAAGTATTCCTTTGTTCTGTGTGTCACATTTGAAATATTTCAAAATATAATGTGTAAATTTTCCGCATTAAAATGCTAAAAAAATGCCTGGAACAATGTTATATAATATTCCAAACATTTCTAACAATCTTCAATCACAGAGAAATCCGCAATTTTAATCAAAGACACAGTCGCCATCGCCTGTCAGTGGCGTCATATCCCCTTTGTCTTGGGAGCCAGAGGCTTTAAACAAATAACTTTTATCTGGTTTTAAGCCACATTTTTACAAAACACCTTTTAGATCTTGGTCGTCTTAAAAGATATGCTTTAACCGGATGAAGGATTTTTGTCATCAGACATCTGGATCTCAAGTTATCAGAGAAACAAGCTGAGCAAATGAACAAACTGTGCAGCTCCAGCCCCTGCCATGCCAAACTGTGTCAGAGAAACACTGATTTTTAACTTCAAACTGCTTTATTCTGTGTTTTTATTTGTTTAAATTACCAGATCCATTTGTTTTGGAGAAGAAGAGACCTCTGCGTCTAATTCTGATGATAAAAACCTCCTGAACGTCGAGTCTTAAATTATCAGAGAAAAAAGGTGAGCACACATTAGCAGGAGCTGGGGTAGCAGCCGCTCTGCAATGAGCTTAACAGCGTCAAAACAACACTAATTTACAACATGAAAGTGTGTTGCTTGGTGTTTTCACTGGTTTTAATCACCTGGTCTGTTTGTTTTGGAGAGGAAGAGACCTTTGTGGATAATTTGGCTCCTGGTAAAAAACTTCTTGAACACAGAACACTGGGAGAAACTGACTGCAATTATGGTGTCACCTTGTCTTTTGATATTTTTTTGCTTGAGCTCTCGTGACAAAAGTTTACATATTGCACGTCTGAAGTGCTTGCTGTTCCACAACATGCTAAACATTTTAAGTGCTTGTTGTGTGTCCCATGTGTCCAACAACACAGTGAGTTATTTAAAGTGCCTGCTGTTCAGTAATTTAACCACCTGGGAATAAAAACTGTCTTTGAGGCCGCTACTCCGAGCTCTGATGCTCTGCAGGCGTTTACATGACAGAAGGAATAAGAACAGACCAAATGCTGGGTGGCTGGTGTCCTCCATGACACTTAGGGCTTTGCTCTGCTGCGGGAGGTGTAAATGTCCTGAATCTGTGGCAGTGATGTTCCTATGATTTATGAAGCTGTTTTTACTGTCGTTCTCAGATGTTAAAGTTCAGTCAGGCTGCCAAACAACACCAGTGAGCTACCAGTAAGGCTGCACTCCATGGTGTGTGGACATTCCATATTTCTAAAGGCACTGCAGAGAGTATAGTCTCCTTCATGACACAGCTGGTGTTTAGAGATGGATAATGTGCGATCGTCTTTTCTGCTTTTCACAGCTCAAAAGCTTCCTGCAGTGTTTGACTATTTAAATGTAAATGGAGAATGAACGCTTCACCTTCACCACATTTATTCTAGTTTTGGTTCTGTCGTAGGGAGAACCAAAACTAGAATAAATGTGGTGAAGGTGAAGCGTTCACCACATTTATTCTAGTTTTGGTTCTGTCGTAGGGAGCTTGTGTTTTGTCATATTTACACCTACTGACATTTTACTCCACTTACTCAAGAGTGTGCAGAGCCCTCGGCATCCGTTCGGCTTCTGCCAACAGTGACCTCACTGCGACATCATCGCCCTGCAGCCAATGCACGGCAGCCTTCAGGACCAAAGCCCACCAACGACTCACTGGGTCTCCCACTAGCAGGAAGAAGAGAGGGAAATTATGTTGAAATAAATTTTAAAAACAAGACAATTGGCTCCAGTCGAAGAGCCTGAATGGACTTTTTTGTGGCCCTGAAAACATTTTTCTTGCCAAGCTTCAATTGTCAAATGAGACATGATTTGACAGTTAAGACCTTGACTTTTTTGTCTCTGCTCTGTGTCTCCTGCAGTAACAAACGCTGTATGAGTGTGAGGATACAGACAGCTTTGTGTGCAAAATGTCTCTGTGTGAAAACAAGAATTGATTAAGGCCGTAGCTAATTAACATCCTCTGAACAGATTGTCAATGTGTTCATATCCATTGCAAGTCATTTATTACCACAAATCAATGACTGCAAGTGTTATCTGTGCTAATCCAATAAAAAGTTAATCCCAAAAGCTAAATTGGCTGTCAGTGTACGGCAAATGGAGCAAAGAAAATCTATTCATGTTGACAGTAATAACTGTGATGGCTATCTGGTTAATCTTCACTGAAGAGGAAAAAAAAAAATATTGAAATCTCTTCCCCCATGCAAACATTCGATGTGATTCATGCTTGATTGTCATTGGGCAGGGTTGTTCTCCTCACACTATTCATACCTGGCGTGGTGGTGTGATTGGGTGGAGTCGAGAAGAGAGGAGGAGGGGAAGGAGAGTCCTCTGTGCAGCTGTTTAGCAACTTGAGGAACTCCAGGGCACTGTAGAACTCCCTGAAATAGAGACAGACATCCAGGGTCAAGTCATTTACTCACATCAAACTGTCAAAAGCAATGCTGGTGCCCTTCTGCCTCACCCAGATTCGTTCTTGTGTTTGCCCACTTCAGAGTCGCTCTGCGGCTGGATGAGGGTGTGAACGGCTCTTTCCAAAAGCTTCCTGCAGAAACAGCGGTGCAGCTGGGCGATGGGGTCAGCTGGAGGAAGATCAGAAGGGGAAGCACAGTCACATCATAGTGCACAGCCTTTCAAATTTACATATTCGTCATACCCACTGGCGATCGTTTCATGACAATAAGCCCCTAAAGCTAACGACCAATATTTCAGGAGATTCGGTTAAGCAAGAGGATATTCAGGCAAACACTTCCTCTTCCATGTGCCGGTCATTTCAGCTAACCTTTAATAACAGATATCCTTATATGAATGCAGATAAATTTACAAAACGGGACATAAAATGGGACAAAAAGGGAAACGGATGGGTTCCAGCTGATGCGCACCATCTCTCCACATGGACTGTTGATCTGCCGCTCAAATGTGAATGGTCAAAACTACTCGGACAACAAAAGGAAACCAGCACCAAAATCGTGTCCTGTCCAGATTCTTCTACATGTGGAGAAATGTTTGTAAAGATCACTTTTTTAAGCATCTGCATTGCTCAGCACAAAAAAGAACTCTGAAACTCAACACAATGCAACAAAGACCTTGAGCCAACAAGACAATTTAGCCAACATAATTCAGTGTTATATCCATCCATCCATTTTCCGATGCTGACCCAGGGCCAGCTCTGATTTCGGTATTATTAATAGAAATAAATAGCTAGAGTGAAAGCAGCGAAACTTGGTGTTCCTCTGGCTACCTTGTGTAGTCTGCTCAAACAACGAGTAGCAGCCATGGCTGCTATTGATGGAGACAGAAAACGAAAATGGGGAAAGCACCTGTGGTTGAAGGCCTCTTGAAGTGAACTAATAATGTCCACGTAATGAAACAGCTGTGTATCAAAGTAGTCAATAAAATTTAGTAAATAATGGTGAAGCTGTCCATTCCATTAGGCCTGCTTTATATTTGTGTAATAAATATACAAATGTCAAATATTGGTTATGATCGTCTTGTTTAAACTGTATTTCCTTTAATAGAAATTTCATCTAGCAATGATTACAACTTCTTTAAAGGGAGCTAAAAGTACCCTTAAAAAGCATAATGTCATGAGTTTATCTTCTGTTATGAGAAAATATCTAATGAGGAAACACCTTAAACTATTTGGACTGTTTGTTTCGGAGTTAAAATGGAAAGAGGAAATGAAACAGAGAAAGACTATAAAGAGTACAACAGATTATGAGCCAACTCCTGTTTTTAATGTCATACCTGGGTCTCGCTGAGAAGTGTACAACCCATCGCTGCTCTCTGACTTCACCGACCAGTCACAACTCAGGAAGAACTGCCGACCCAGTGGGGTGAAGAGCCAGCGCAGGCAGTCAGGGATCGTCTTGGTCTCTGATTGGTTGGCCACGCTCTCTGCACAGCTCAACAGATAACCCTGGGAGATTCACACAGAAGCAAGGATGCGGATTATGGAAAGAAACCTCATCCAAAGTAAATATCATTAAGATAAAGTGGATAAGTATTCAAACACAATGTAACCACAGACCGGAGACAGAACGTGTAAGAGACTTACAGGCAGACAAGAAAGGTGGTGGCCCAGCACTGTGCGCAGGGCTGTTGCTGCAGTAACATAGATCTGGGTAAGTTGCGCAGGGGCCATCTTGCCTTGGGCGCTCTCGCTGAGGTTGACAGCACTCAGAGACACAGACAAAGCCCACAGACTGCTACGCTGAGGCAGCTTTCCTACAGAGAGCAAGAGAAGAAACTGTATGACTGCATGTCAAAGTGAAAGGTGCAATATTGATTTGTTGTAATTAAAATATAACTATTTCCCCATGTTTTTTGTGTCTAAGAGACTAATGGGAGCAACAGTTTTTGAAACTTCGGTGTTGATTGTGAGCGCTGCAGCCAGCAGTCGTGAAACAGGCTACAATGCAAACACTCTGGCATGTTTTTGCTGTCAATATACACCCACTAAAAGCGCTTGTTTTTGCCACTGACAGGCTCAGATTGTGAAAGGTGTCTGACAAGATTATGGAAAGGACCCCTACAGATATAAACCTTTTTGTTAAAGAGTAAGATCCTTTTTGTTTGCCACAAACAGCCCCCCAATCACCATCGCCAAACCTACCAGACTCCGTTTTAATAACCAGTAATTTTATCTTTGTAAAACTGCTGACAGGAACAAAAGCTCACAAAAGGGCATTTTCTTTCGTCTCTCCACTGCTCCAAAAATTCTTATATCTCTCATCTTAAATTTGATGCTTTGGTGTGTCCTGGCATTCATGATAAAATAGATTTCAAACCTTTTTTGTAAACCAGCTTGGTCCTTTTATTGCTTTGATATTTTCTTTGCAGACAAATAAATATTCAAATAATCTAAAAAACTTTTTATTGTTGTTGGTGCATTTTGTTGAGTCCAATGTTCTCTGTACATGGTCCCTGATAAAAAATAAACAAAAAAGTAAGTAAGTATTTGAGGTCATTTACTTGAATACTAAGAGTATTTTTTTTTCCACATAGCATACTTGTGGTATATTTACTGTATGATTCGCTGTTGTAAATTAGCCTCCTGGCCACTAGTTGTCTATATAAGGAATCACAATTTCCTCTCACACACTTTTCCCTTTTCCTTGTCCCACTCTGTGTCTATCCCAGTCGGTGTCATCCTTTTATAACTTTTAACTCTGATATGCCCCAAACAAATGAAGGCATCTTAACTATACATCCTTGGCTAGATGCTAGTGTGCTTGATGTAATCCCAGTGGCTTCCCATTTTTCCTATAGTTGACCAGTTATAGTTGACCTCGCATTCGCCTGAAGTTCACCACTTCACAACCACGAGCAGCTGGTATTTTCTCTTCTTGCTTTTGTGAAACTCTGGATTGGTTAAAATAAACCGTTCCCATTTAGATGTGAAAATATGCTGGATCTGTATACACTAAGATCATTGTTTATTTAAAATGGAGTCTGGCAAAGGATGTTACTCCTTAATAAAAAGGACTATCTCTGTAGGAATCCTTTCCATATGTTGTCAGACACTTGTAACCACAATCTGAGCCTGTCAGTGACAAAAACAAGCATTTTTATTGGACAAACACTGATGGATCACACGTTGCAGCCTGTTTCACTGCAGCCAGTTGCAGATGTTTTGCTCAATACTGGACCAATTTCAAAAAATGTTGTTCCCATTAGTCACTTGGACAAAAAAATATAAAAACAAGGGTTGTGGCATAACTTGTTCAACCTGTGTGTATGTGTCCTGCCTGTGTACACATCAGCCCACTTTGGTGCCAACACTCACCTGTGAGCTGCAGCTGGCTCAGCCGGTGGTAAACCAGCGCTGCGTCCTTCGCACTCGTCCTAGCCTCCTCCCCCTCATGCTTTCCCCCGACCTGATGAACCAGCCAACCCAAAGGAGTTGGACGATGCAAGCAGTAGCGAATTAGATTCCAGGACAGTGAGCAGACCAGGTCCAGATTAGTTGATGGAAGAGCTCTCGTCAAGACGGACAGGCATGTCTCTAAGCTGGCCATTGCTGCTGTGTAATCTCCCTGCAGGAGAGAAAGAGACAGGAGAAATAGTAAGCTAATCAGTATTCAGTGGAGACTGACTGGAGAGAGGGGGCGATGAAGGTCATTAGATCTGAGCGCGATTTGAACAAACGCTAAAAATAAATGCATGCAGGGAAAAGGCAGGCTAAACTGACACATCAAAACAGTGTAAATCAAAGCAGATCTCTGAGCACATCCAAACACTGGAGGAAAGAATAACGGGATCAAATATTCACACAGTAGCATGAAATGGAAGTAGTGTGATCATTTCTTTCCTATTTTTGGAAACGCTACCTCACCCCTTCTTGAGAAGTTTCCTGTTCACACACACGCACACACACACACCTCTTATGTAAGAGAAAACAATATAAATAGCATCTCACCCTGTTGAGATGCAGGTCGGCTTGTTTGCGATGCCTCCAGAACGACACAGATTTTGGCGAGTGAAGGGGTGTGACGGGTTCCCACAGGTAGAGCACCCTGACACAGCCCCACACTGCACCCACTCCGCTCAGCACCCACACCATCACCCACGGCAACAGGCACCGCAGCCAGGACGCTGGAGGATGAGGAGAGATGAAACATAAGATAACGTCATTACTCATGGCTACTCTTGACTCGTGATGTGAACCCTGATAAACAGAGGACTCAGCCCCGCTCCTCACCAAAGTCCTGAGTGTGAGTTGGGAACCAGACAAGCGTTCTAGATGGCCCGTGGCCTGTGGACAGGCTGGCGCTCCCTGAGGCCTCAGAGCCCAACAGAGATGGCAGCGGGTTCAGTGACAGGCAGAAGAAGGTCAGGACGCAGAGAAGCAGTCGAGAACCATCCATCACGCCGACGGAGGAGGGAGAATCTGGCTCACTCTTCATCTGCAAGAAAGAGAGGTAGAGAACAGGCTCACAATAATTGTCTGTTGAATTATTCACAATCATGTCCGTTATTAAACTTACATCATAAACCTTGCACAGCATGCTTTGGTAACACTGTATTTAAGGAGAGTCACATAATTATGATCATGCTATATAAGTCCAGTTAAATTTTAATCTTAATTTGAGCGTAGAGAGCCAAAGACAAACATTTATTATTTACAAACAAGAACATATGCATTTTTAAAAACTTCCTCCCTGGAATAATTCCAAATAAACAAGATCAGATTATTTTTAAATTTAGGTGTTGATGCACTTGTATCTAACAAGAATTTCTCTACCCCAAAGCCTGATTCACAGTAGGGTGCTCAAAACATTTGATGAGTGTCACTCAGGCTCCCAGGAATGCCACTAAGCCTTGCCCCCAATTTTTCCCAGCAGCCACTTGCAGTAATGCAGTGAAAAAATCCTCTGCAGCCCAAAAAGCATTTTCTCAATAGAGCCTCGAACTGCAAACAAGTTCAATTATGACTCCTTCTATTATGAATTTTTGATGCATGGAGGTTTTATATTTATAAAACTTTCCTCAAGCTGAGAAAAGCGATGTATAAATCTGTGACTTCATCACAATGTTAAGTCTACGAGCCGAGCAGGAACTCACAAGCAGGGCCAGCAGGAGAAACACTGCTGCCCATTTTCAGTGGGTTGCATACAACAGAAGAAAACCCAGAAGCTAGAAACTTTTCTGGCATATGTACCAGGCAAGCAATTAAAGTGGACTGAATAGGTCCCATCTTGGGGTCTGGTATCTAGTTTTTATTATATATCAATGGTGTCGCTTGGCAGAAATCACTTTCAACAGAAAAAAAATGTAAATCAAAACTTTCCTCTCCTTTTCGTATCGTTGCACCTGGAAAATTTTGCTCATATTTTGTCATGCAATGTGACTGGGTAGTGACATGGAGACATTTCACCACAGTTTGGTCTGTAACCGTAACTTTAGATAACTTACAACAGCCATTTTTATTTAACTTGCAGCAACTCTCTCATCCTCTAATCCTCAGCATCACAGCGAGCCACTCTAACACACCTGCTGGGGTTTAGTGTGTCCCGGAGTGAGTAATCAATTAAAACAATTTGATTGAGGACTATCAAAACTGTTGGCAAAATACTGAAAGTGCACGTCTACGTCCATGTCCTGCATTTGTTGGACCAAAACATATTCACCCTGTAGGCCCCGTGTTTGATTCAAGGGATGCACTGACCACCTCCTTTTCTTGAGATCAGGATGATAAGAGGGATAGTGTCGAGTTAACATGGAGACGACTGAAACCTTTCACTGCAGCATGAATCAAAAACTCTGCGTGGCGCTTCAGTGTGTCAAGTGTCCTACTATAAGTCAGGCTTTAGTGATAAAACGAATGTCAGCACCTCCTGAGCAATCTTCATAATAAAATTCTTCTAGTTGTTCACTGTTGGACATCTTTTACTATGAAGCAACAGAAGTAAGGAGCAGTAGGACTCCTATCAGTGAACTAGTAACTCTAAAGATGAAGGTGTGTTACCTGATCGTGTTCCAGCAGGGGGCTGCCAGGCTCTGAGTCCACGCAGTAAGGAGAGAACTGGTGAGGGGAACCTGATCCAGAGTCCGAGGCTGGAGGTGACATCATCACTATTTCCTCTTTGAGCTCCACATCTTCAGACAGGACCACTTGCTCTGAGACAAACAGAGAGAAACCCAATGAAATCTGAAGCTGCAACAGATTATGGTCTGCTTATAGCATTCAATAATGTAAAAAGACTTACTGTTCTTCTGGTTGCCCATCTTCAGGGCCAAGTTCTCTTGTCGTAGTTTGTGGTTGACCTGTTGCAGGTACTTGATGTAGTCAATGGCTTTCCTCAGCACGCCTGACTTGTGCATCTGGGAAGAAAGACATTAAGGAGGATGTGATCAAGCTCATGAGTGAAATCAGTGGATTTCTTTACAAATTAAACACTGAAACATTTTCCCAGCATTAAAATCACTAACCTTCGCGTCATTGCCCATGACCAGGTCTCTGAGCTCCACGATTTTGTCGTTGATAGAGGACCGATACCTCTTCTCAATGATGTTGTGGGTCGTTCTCCTCTCGCCCTCCTTCACAACTCCCCCCGGGCCTACCACTCCTCCCATCACCTGGCCCTGGTCCATGCTTGTTCTAGCTCCATTTGTGCATTGGGAGGTGCCTGGCTGGAGCTGCTTGATTGGCAGCTTGTCTCCTCCTCCCATCATAACAGGGACGGTGGTCAGGATGTTGCTGCTCATCAGCGTCTGGGACGGAAATCAGTAGCAGTAAGTTAATTTTCACTGTGGGACTGAAATTGTGATAAACATTAACAACCACATAATAAAATAAAAATCTTTTATGCTAGCCGTTTACCGGGACTTGCAGAGCTGTGTTCTGGATGGGCGTAGTCAAGGTGGTGATCCCTGTGGGGCTCTGCATGGTAGACAGCACCTGTGTGCCGTCTGGTTTGAGTGTTGTGAGAACAAGTGAATCTGTCTTCAGAATCTGAGGCTGCTGGACCAGAACCTGATGAAGACACGTTCAAAGGTCAGTGGAGGATTTTATATTTGCTTACAAGCAGTTTATGTTTTGCAGTAATTACGGTACTATTGTTAAGTCAGGTTTGTTGAAATATTGACCTATCACCTAATTGTCATGTCCACTGCCATTTTAACTCTTTTTCTGACAGTAAAGACTGCAGTTACAACAGTGAGGTTACTTACAGGGACTTGCTGCATCGGCTGTTGCATAGTGTGAACTGTGGGTGCTGGAGAAAGAGTTTGGATGGTCTGACAGGTCGGGGTCAGAACCCGCTGGTGCTGAATGGTCATTGGTTGGAGCTGTGGTGACGTCATAATGCTCTGCATCTGTGGTTGGAGGACTGGAAATGGGAGACAAAATAATGGATCATCAGATCGTCCACTTTATGACACACTAACTCATACGTTAATAGTGGTACAATGATCAATTAGGCTGGATCAATGTATCGATTTAATAATCAACAATTCAAATTTATCAATGCAAAGTGAAAACATTAATTTTGTACCATCAACTAAAAGATATGCCTTTATTCTTAAAATTCACATGGCACATCCGTGTCATTGTCAAACAGTGGCTGTGAGATATTGGCAAGCAGGCAAGAAAAAGATGATAATCATTTAAACTCTCCTCTCAGAAAATAAATCTGCAGTGCGGAAATATTTTGGATTTCAGAGAAAAGACAGTTCAACAGAAAAAGCACATACGAGATAAAATACTCTGGAAACATGATGAACCTTGCCTGGCATCTCACTCTGTAACTTCTTGCTCCCACTGTGGTAACAGTGCTGCTCTGTTTCATCAATGTGAGGCTGTAAAAGTCTTTTGTTTTGTTTTTGTCAGTGTGCAGTGTACTTTTGGGGATGTTTAAGTCCTTAGATTTAGCTGCAGAGTAAGTGCTCCTTGTTTTCATGCTGCTCTCAGGTACAGGCAGCTGCAGACCCAGGGTGAGATGGAGGCAGCTGCCCAGTCAGGCTCCGAGATAATGTCATCTTCTGCCTTCTGCTTCGAAGTGGTGAATTTACAGCTCATAGAAACTTAATACGATATAGTCCCTGACTTTTGTTTGATCTAGTGTCAGCTAAAAATGATGCACATTTCCAATCTGTCGTTAGCTTAATTAGCACGCACTAGCTCGGAGGGCTAATTTGGTTTGTTTACTATATTACATAAATGCCGGCATCACTCTGAATGTCCTGCTGAACCCAGTTCAAACTCTCAAACTTTATATGAAACAAAAAGAATTAAAGAGTTGAATATTCGTGTTAAAAAGCCAAATCTGATCCGATTGACATAATTTTAAGGCAGGTTCAGCCCTAGAAAAAGTTCTAAGGCTACTAATGGTGACAAAAACAAAAAGCAATTGTTTTGTCTATAAAACTTAACAGTGATTATTAAGCTAAATTCTATACCTCTGTTATACATTCTTGTTGTCAAGCCATGTTTTGTGTGTTAGTGGAGGAAGATTTACTGCACTAAACCAGTCACAATATTTACAATTATGTGTTTGTGCACCAAGGAAAGGGGAGGCAGCTTCTTCTGTGAGCCATTATGTTAAATGGGCACACGATGTCATCTCATATGTCGATAGCAGGCCCCTGAATTGCATCAAATCGAAATGGTATCGTGGCAGACTTTCTGATATCAGTAAATATCACACTACTGTCTGAGGAGTTGATATAATATCTAGAGATTTACACCCCTAACACTGAGCAAACCACCCTCCTATGCCTCTCTCTGCTCACCTTGGAAACTCGGAGCAGGGCTCTGGTGACAGATGACAGGGCTCTGGATGAAACGTGACTGCCCGCCATTGGAGGCAATCATCACAGTTTGAGCCTGGGTCTGGATAGGCAGGGGTGTCTGGCTGTGGGTCTGAACCAGGGTGTGGACTGGGAAGCTCTGTGTCTGCATCGCGATCCCCTGGGTGTGCATCTGTATTGAAATAAAAAAAAATGAATTCAGTTTCATCTCATTTTTGTCCTCAGAGATACTAAAGTTCGATGCAACATGAGACACTTCATCTGTCTTTACTGATGTACTATTTTAGGAAGAAGGTATTACACTCAGGACAATAAACTATATCTGGCAGGCTGACTGGTTTTGCTGAGATGTGCACTGCCGTTTGTGGGGATGCTGAGCTCTGGATATTATATTTTACAGTCTGTCAGTACCGTGAAATTTTTTCTCCTGTCAGCAGACGCTTTTTTAGTATGGATGGCACAATAACAGAAAATGGATCTGCACCATCTCCACAACAGACAATGAAATCACAGCTGGAGAAGCAGGCAGCATGAAAACAGCCTGACTCAAAACAGCACTAGTCCATCACTGCAGCACATTCAGAGCGATGCGGAGAGCTGAACCCAAACAATGTTACCTTGAATATCGCTTTCAATAAGCTAAAAAACAGTGCACAAAATCCCTCATAGAATTAGTAGTATTAATTTACTAGTCGTAGTAATGAGTAAAATGTGACAGGATTGGAGTGTGAAGGTGATGTTGGATACCTGGATGGTAGGCTGGGCCGTCTGCTGGGGCTGAGGCTGGATGGGCTGGACCACCTGAGGTCGTGGCTGGAGAAGCGGAGGGCTGCGGGTCACCTGCTGCTGTACCGAGGGGACGGTGATAGGGGAGGGGGTCTGTGCGGGAGTGAGGGGAGGGGTGAGGGGTACAGACTGGGGAGACAGTGTCTGGGAGGGGGCGAGGCTAGCGGTGGTGCTCTGGTAGACAGCGGGGGCTGGTGCTTGGGGAGTTTGGGGAGCTTGAGGGGTTTGAATGACAGGTCGTGGAGCGGTGCTGACGCCACTCTGTGCAGAGCCTGCTGAGGCCATCTGATCCTCGAACAGGTCTGGAAAGTCCCCCACCTGGTTGCTGACAAACTGGAGCATCTCTGAGGAGGTGGAGAAACAGAATGGATATTACAACACGTCTGGATTTGATTAAGGAATCAAAGTAAGGTTTTGGGACAGCTCTGCAACTCATTCAGTGACATACTGTAACACACGAAAATAGAAAATAGTAATAAAGCAAAATGTAAAAAAAGCAAAAATATATTAACACTAGGGGTGGGCCATATATTGATGACACTCAATGTATCTCAGCTTGTTCCATGTGGGATGTATAAAATGACTATATCATGAACATCGAGTTTGAATTGTCACGTAATTTTCTGAAGTCATCAGCATGAGACTTCTTTTAGCATTTCAGCTCTCTCCCTCTCACAGACATGCACACATAAGGGAAGTCTCACAACCTCACACACATTTCTTCACCCATCTAGAACATTTTCTCCTCAGAGATAATGTATGAGCAGGGGAGGCATGTGTTTTGTATCTGCAGGGCTCCAGACTGTGACTATTCAGTCAGATTTTGCGACCATGGAGCACCTGTGCAACTTGCAAATACTATTAATATATGACCTAGGGAGCTGTTAGTGTGTTTCCAGCTCAAAGTGAATAAATCCTCACGTTTTAAGGAGCTGTGGTAACTTCTTGCTAACTGCTGACATCTAACTGTTGACTGGAAGCTTCAAGTTCACAACAAAAAGATCAACACTTCCAGCCCGAGCCAAGCAAGGTGCTTAAAAATAAAAGCACAAGTGGTTCTGCTTTGATTTATTTAAATACACATTATTTAACTTTATTATATGACATAAGCTACTTTATGTAACCTTAATGTAACTGCAGTTCATTTTATAATCTTGTATTTTAGTAGTTCACAGTAGTTTAGAGGAGATTTCAAAATCATTATCATTATCCGTGATGGCTTACCCTAGTACAGGGTTGCAGGTGGCTGGAGCCTATCCCAGCGGACACTGGACGAGAGGCGTGGTACACCCTAGACATCTCGCCAGACTATCACAGAGACAGACAACTATTTAGCTCAGATTCATGGGCAATTTAGAGTCACCAATTAACCTGCATGTCTTTGGACTGTGGGATGAAACTAGAGTACGTGGAGAAAACCCAGGCTGACACGGGGAGAACATGCAAACTCCACACAGAAGGGCCCAGCCAGGCTGGCAGATTCGAACCTAGAACCCTCTTGCTGTGAGGTGACAATGTTAACCACTACACCAAGTCACCCAGATTTAAAAAACATGGAGATATATATATTGTGTATCACGTTACAGCCTAAAACGATTATTTCAATCCATATCTCCTTGCCCTAGTTAATACCTTAACAATTCTACAACTTAAAACGGTTAAATACTTATAAATATAATTAAAATAATAAAACAGTGAATTTACAGTATCACTCAGCAAGAGTGTTGTGTAGATAAAAGCAGAATGTGGTGACACCTGTAGATCAACATACTGCAACACAACCTAAATTCCATAAATGACTCTTACTTGACTACCTTTAAGCTCAGGCTTCAGCTGCACACAGTATTACAGTACCACGAGGTAATAACCTAAGTATTGCTTTCTGCAGTGACCTTGAGAGAGGACTGTTCGATAAAAACTTAACATAGGGTGGTAAGGTTGCCCACTATAGATGCGTGAATGTTGTTTACTGCTGGCAGATAAGACTAGTAAAGGCCGAGAAATTCAAGGACTGGCCTTGAATTGACACATGCACACACAGAAAGAAGCTACTGTTATGGTGATAAAGCTGTGAACAGATTGTACTGAAAGCAAAAGGCCTTCAAACAGATAGCCTTGAGATGGTGTGTAGTAATGTTACTGATGGCCCCGAAAGACAACGGCAGTGTGGTAAAAAAGCACTTAGATAAAGAGAACGGCAGCACTGAGTGCCTGATGGATGGATGAATGAATGGCACGGTAATGATGATGAATGTGCACTGTGCTTCTCTTGTTAAACACCTGAGGTCACTCAATAAATGGTTCCTTACATACAGAAGAGACACAAAACTGATGTTCCTTATCAACGACGTCGCCTCAGTGTCAAAGTCATGCTGCACTGGGTGTTAGGGTTTGGCAGTATGATTACAGGGCTCCAGACTGACTTTCCCACTGGCAGAATTGGTGCTACCAACTTTCTCAGTTAGGCGCACCAGCACGTGATTTGGTCGCACCCAAGTTTTTGCAATTACTCATCTTACTGCTGAAAAGCATTTGGGAGGGGCTGCGTCGGTCCCCGCAGGTTTTGTTTCCTACTCTTGTTGCGCAACTTCAAAGTTTCAAGCTTAAACTGTTTTGACAAGTTTAGAGTTGCTTGCAACAAACGCACCACATTGCATACACGACACACACAGTACAGCTTTTTCCTCGCACCGCAACCATTGGTACCATTTTTTCATTCCCAATACTGTTGCCAGTTTCTGAACTTGTGTATCACCCGACCAAGTACTCGATCGGAGCACCAATCAAACACCATTGCAATTTAAAAAAAAAAAACATTAACAGCTGAATACTACTAACCCTGTATGGATTAAAAATAATTGATATTGTTATATAGCACAGCTCAGATTAAACTCTTTGTAAATTATGAACAAATACCTCCAGAGAAGTGATGGCATTTAACTTCTTATCCAGAGTGAAATATCTCCAAATTGTAGACGCTTTTCAAAACAGAGTTACAAAGTGCTTTACATGCCAATAATTAAAACAGACAAAGACATGAAAACAACTTTTAAAAAGAACTTGTGTAAGCAGCACTTAAATATATAAAAACTGAGGAAATAAAAGACAGTTTAAATTAACTTAAAACTCAAGTAAAATCAGGAAAGGCTCTCCAATAAAAGTATGTTTTAAGAAGAGACTTAAAAGTGATCATTGACTCGGCCGACCTGATTTCCCCGGGCAGATTGTTCCAGAGCTTGGGGGCCCTGACAGCAAACGCTCTCGCCATTTTATCTGGGTGTGAAACCTCTTTAAAGTTTATTAATCAATTATGTGGCACTGGATTGGTGCATAGACTTGTGTACTTGTTGATACCCGATCCAGCATTTTAGGCACTATACTGATATCGGTATTGGAGCAACTCTAGTGCTGTGTTAGCCATTGTGATTGAAAGAAGCACTTCTTCTTCTTCACTGGCTCTGTTGGTCTCTCCTTGCCTTCACTTTGATCGTCAGTGCTGCCTGAACCTCTTGTTGTCTCTCATTCCCCATCATCCTGCTCTCTCTCCTTATTTTACTTTTAAAAATAATCAGCTATACAACATTTCACTCTGGAAGTTTAGCACCAGCTAAATGGATAGCTTTGTAAAGTTCTACGCTGCTACATACACACGCAACATGCGCTGTGTGTAAGGCATCAAGTGCTGGTGAGGGGACCAATGATAATGAACATCATGCACTTGCACATAGATGCAACCATTTTGGTCGCAGTCTGAATAATATCATAAAAGATATGCAACAAGGCTGGGAAGAAGAAGACTGATAGCAATTAACAATGGATGTGAACAAAGCTGGACTTAAAACACGTAGAAAACAGGGCTGCACGATATGCAAAAACAATTGTATTGTAATTATTTTGATAGATATTGTGAAATGAGTCACAATTTTAGTGGGAATGGTAATTTTTGCTGAATTTTCACTGGAATAAAAGGTAATGATGTGATTTTTGCTGGGGTGAACTAAAGATTTATTTTTTTATTTCTTTATTTATTTTTTAGCTATGGACCAATCTTGTGTATGAAATAAAGTTATAATGGCACGTTGTGACAGATTTTACATTCATCAAACATTGCAGCGCCTGCGATTTGGATATCACACTTGGCCATATTGAAATTTTCTTTAATATTTTTGATCAATTGTGCTGCTCTGTAAATGTCTGTTAGACCTTAGAAATACACAAACTGCATTTTGGTGATTTACACTGAATGCAAATATAACTTTTGTTTGTTTACAAGAAATTAATATTTAGTCTATTGGTTTTTTGCACCAATGTGATGGAAATACTTAATTTCCATAGTACAGAGTATAGTTTTTAAATTTCATTTAAAAAGAATCACAACATAATGAAATACATCACTCTCACAATGTACAACCATATATACTACGAAAGAAGATTTATGTCTCTCCAAAATCACCCATTCATGTTAACATCTCTGTCTTGACAGCTATGAGAAGAAAGCAATTTGCCAGAAGAACACAAGTCTGTGGTCAATTACTGTGAAAAACACCACGTCTTTCATGGTCCCACAGGACTTTGGAACTTCAAGACTTTTGACAACTGCTTTACAGGGGCCATGTGGTGAAGGCTGCCCTCTCTGATCTATATCACTGATAATGCATATGGCTTCAGCCATCAGGGTCAATGAAGTGTCAATAAACAGAGGCTGAGACCTTGAACTTAGCCTTACTGTACAGCAGAGAGAGACATGACAATCCAACAGACCTCAGACCACATCAGTCGACTGTTTCAATGACAAGAAATCACTACGCACATCCCAACAGATGAAAGCGTTCATAATAAAATGAGAGTCAGAGACAATGAGTATATCACAGCCAATAGATCTTAACAGCCCTGTCTATTACCAATGATGTTACAGTGCAAGTAAACAATAAGTCTGTCCTTCTTTACATGTCGATATGAAGTCCAGTGATTACTGTGGCATCATAACGACTGATTGCATCTGTCATTTGAGCCATTAGTGTCAAGGAGTGTCTCTCTGCAGTATTTTAACAACTTGTCTACACAGTATAAATCCTGGTGCAGTGACACATGCTTTCAAAAAGCTGAGACTGAAAAAAATAATTGTCTCCTCTCTTATCTCTTTGTCTCATTGTGAAATGGAATTATAACACAAAGAGCTAAGATAACGGAATAGATGAATGACACTGGAGAGTTGAGACAATAGAGAAATAAAACTCAAACCATTACAACACCAAGGTTTCTCATTATTGTCAGCCACAGCAGCCAACTTCCTGTCAACTCTGACTGTCCATCATCACTTGTTGCATTTCAGTAGAGTGTATAAAACAGTACAGGTGTTACATAGCATTCGTTTTCTGTTGCCATACAGTTACATGACTATAAAAAGGGATTTGATTGAGGGTCACAAAATACCAACTGGCAAAGCAAAGACAGTAATGACTGTGTATGTGAGTTCTGCTGACACAGAGAGGTTAGCAGTTCTAGAGGGTTATAAACAGTGACAGTACTTCCTCCTGAACATAACCGATATTCAATATCAGGGTGTCTACAGGTATCAGACACTTACATTTAATGCTTTTGCAGGCTAGAGCTGCGACAATATTTTGGTAGGTTGTGAAATATTAAAATAATCGCCAACTAATTCGGTAATCAGGGCTGGCCATGAACATTTTTGTCAATCTGCCACTGTGGCTGGTGGATTTCAAAATCGACCAGCCACCTAATAGATAACCATTGTTTTATGGCTGGTTAGCAATGCTTATCTTGCAGCCACTTGTATACTGTACCAGCATTTGGCTGGTGGCTGGTGCTTCTTAAATGTGAAATTTTTTTTGTGGACAAAAAAAGACATTTGAGGATGTCATCTTGGGCTTTGGAAAACAAGGATAGAATTATTATTATTCACCATTTTCTGACATTTTATAGACCAAATAATGAGTTGATTAATCATAATAATAATTGACAGATTCATCAATATTGAAAACAACTGGCAGTTCCAGCTTTTAAACCAAATTTAAGACTGATTTTTGGACAAATTATCTTATTCAAGCATTGCAAGTGAGTATAAAGGTAAGTTGTACATTTGTAATCAGAGGTAGGTTTTATGTAGGAATAGGGTTATCGGAGCGAGTTAGATTAATCTACATTTTGCCAACAGGTAAGTGCAAATATGTAAAACAACAGTATTAGGTTCAATGGTAGGTTAAAAGATCTGTAACCATCGACTGTAAAAATAATGCACATAGCTACCATGACGACACCATTGGTTTGTGGACTGACATCTTAAAGCATCGAGTCTGGCATTTCGGCTGTCACCATCTTGGTTTTTTGGAGCTAGAAGTGTCCATATTTGAGCGAGAGGCTCGCACTGTGTTGGAGTGAGGGATGGATCTGATTAAGAAGCCGAGGACCTGTCACTTAAAGTGGCACACACTTCAATATGCGTAACTGTAAGCCTGAATAACATGAAAACACATAAGTTATATGTTTGTTGGTTGTCATTTAAGAGGGAAATTAGCTATAGAGACCAAAATCGTTTTTTTGTACCACGCTGTAAATTTAGACTGTTTAACGTGGGGGTCTATGGAAATTGACTGGGTCCTGGAGAGAGCTTCAAGTGGTCATTCAAAGAACTGCAGTTCTCTGCCCTATTGCATTGGCTTCATTCTTTAGCCCAAGAGGTTGCCACTTATTTGCAGCATCAGAAATGTGGACTTTCATGCAGAAGAGCTTGACCCATTTTAACAAAATACATTAAAAGATGAATAAATTAAATTAAATCAAATGTTTGTGGCAATTGGGACCTCACAAATTCAAATTTAAAACTGTTTAATGACTTCTACAGCCCCATCCTAATATTTACAAAATTGAATTTAAGACTTCAAGACTTTTTAAGGACCGGCAGGCACCCTGATGATGGTAAAACTAGAACAGTAAAGATTCAAGCTAAAAAGCATGCAGAATCATCCTTTAATCAACAGCCTTAATTGAGTGTAGGACACATTTCCAGTCACACAAACATTACTTGCCTGAGCCTTTCTACTCAGGAGCTTTTACCAACCAGTCCATCACATGTCACATACATACACACATTACGCAGGCTAACACACCAGAGCATGCACTTTTGCACCTCCACAGGGGGCAGACTGATGATGACAGACAGGACAAAGCAGCTCTGAGCCCCCAGAGCTTCAGACAAGCTGACACAAAGGGTAAATCCATCAAAGGAGGACAGTTTCCTAGGCTGCTAGGCAATAGGTTACATAACCAGGGGTTGCTAAGAGAATAATTGGGAGAGGAAGAATGTTCTAGATGAATATAGGGTCAATTACCTGAGCCCTTACAGGGGCCTCTAGGACCTCTCACTCTATGAAACGCACATGGCTCCACAGAAGAACAAAGTTAATAAGTTTCGAGAGCTACAATAAACCAGCTGCCGCACAGAGAGAGATGAGACCTATCACTGTGTAGCTTGAGATTTGAAAGATGCTGTGATGATTTTAAATAGATGGATCAAAGCAAAAAAATTCTCTCGCACATCATTAGGGAGACGGTGTCTACAATTTCTGCAACACGGGTCAATTTTCCTGCAGCTCTGGCTGGTGGGAAAATTTAATTTATCGATTAGCCGCAGGCCAAACAGAGACTGAGTGAAGAAAAAAACCTCAAGTGTGGGCTGTCTTTGTTGCAGCTTGCCTGTGAATTCATCAGTCAACTCTCAGTTGTCATACCTCGCTCACAGTCTGTACATTCCTGTCTTTTCACACAATGATTAAGAGGGATTACATAACTGAGGCTGTGGGGGGTGTTTTGTCTGCTCACTCTGCCCAAGGGCCCCCTTTGAAAAGAGAATTAACACTAGGCACCAAAGGCAGGTAGAGATTCTGAAATGTTTCATAAGCTTGTGTGCAGTACTGTCAGAGTTTGACATTATATTTCTGCTCACATCATCTTGTTAAGTAGTGTTATAAACCAGAGGCGTAGATTCAAGTCACATGATTTGGTCTCAAGCCACAAATGTAATGACTTTAGACTTGACAAGATCAAAAAAGACGTGCAACTGGACTTGAACTTTAACACAAATGACTCGTGACTTCAGTTGGACTTGAGTCTTTTGACAAGAAAACACTTGATACCTTCACACAAGCCGAGAGATTATTAAGTATGTTATTCAAAAAGTGTGCCATGAATTAATTCATTTCCTTTTGTTTCCTGAATGAACTAACTTTAACACAATTCATTCACAGCAAGTCAACTATTAACTTTCCAGATCCACTTTGTTTGAACCAATCCAACAGCATCCAATTAAGTTGCAGGAGAGAACTAAGAGCAACTAACTTGACGTTACTAAGCAGCAAGAAAAAAACAACACCAATGTCATTTCATTTGCGTACAAATATTAACCAACAAAAAACAATTTGCAGCATGCAAAATTTGCAAACGAAGTAACAACAACCTCCAACAAACTTCTTTTAACAAATTAATACAAATGAAAAAAAAAAAAAAACATCCCTGATTTTAGTACGCTTTGTTAAAATGGCATTACATTTGATGAAGAGTGCATTATTGCTTGCTTAGGACACGAAACTCAAAGGTTAGGACTTCAAACTTGACTTGAATCTTGTTGTTCTTTACCAGAGACTTGAGGATTATTAATAACTTGTAAAACAATGACTCATTACCCCATTGTCCACCATGAGCAGCAGACAAAAAGATCTGTTTCTACCCATAGAAATCGATTAATTTCATTTCTATACCTCTATCTAAAACCCAGCTCATTTCACACTGTCTGCCCCCACACACACACACACACACCAGTCCATCAGTCCGGTCTGGTGACTTGGCATTCAGTAAAATTCCACCCTAGTAGAAATCTGGTGACTCTGCGCTGGCCGGCATTTCACCAAAAGCCCTGTCCTTTCAATGCGTGCCAAAGGGTGAAACTTGTTTTGATAGAGACAGAGAGATTGGATCAGGGATGCTGTTTGTTCAGCCAGGACAGGATGTCTACAGACATGTTGTCCAACAAACTCAGTGTAATAAATCTGCAGAATAAGTTCAGAAAAGATGCAGAAGAGAGGTTTTAAAATCTATTTTAAAAAATAAATAAATAGGGGAAAGACAAGGCTTAAATCCTGACATGCAATTCATGGAGTCTAAATAAGTGAAGATCTAATTGGCTCATCTTATGACCCTCAGCACACAGTAAAGAAAAAAAACACAGTCAAGCTTGATGAGCAAGTTTACTGCCCAGATGCACAGCCTCTGATGAATGACACCTCTGATTACTGATACTTGCTTCATGGAAAATAACACTCTGCCTACAACTTAACGTAGTTATGAAGCGATGTCACATAGCATGGCAGCTTCAATAAATCAGAATTAGCAGAAGAGATGTGTGTATTTGCACTGTGATTATTGCGTGGAATAAATCTGACTCAAGTAAAATAAGATACATTATTCTGAATTTAGCTGAAATATTAGGGACTCTCAGGGATAATAATTCTTAACTTTCCTTTTAATGTCAGCTGTACTGTGAATAATTTGAATGGCTAACTTTGTAGCTTCGCACCGTCATAAATAAACAGACCTCCTCAGGTCTTTCCGCTCAGGAGGATGAGCATCTCTCAGAGCTGTCAAACTGAGCGGAAACAAGCTAACGCTAACTTACAAACAACACTTAACGTTAAGCTAACTGTTAGCATTAGCACAACGACTCACCGTCGATGTCTCCCAGGGTGAATTCGTCTCCTAATTCTGCTAAAGTCGGGTCCATGTTCTCCATGGTGGAGATGTACTCTCCGCTGTCCATCCTGTCTGTTAGCACCTCGCCTCCCCTGCTGTCACCGGAGGGTCGCAGGGGGAGGAAAGAAACACGACCCGTGGGCTATTCTGCGGCGTTCAGCGACGCCTTCGACACCGTTATCTAACCGAGAAGATTATTCTTTTTCCGGGACGACGGTGAGACAACACTGAAGCCTCCGGAGAGGCGGACTTCTCTGTCGATAAACAGGTTAACACCGATATATGCTTAAGTCGCCGCCATCTTGTTTTACGCTCATTACGTCATTCACAAACAGACTCTGGAGCGCAAAGCAGGCTCTGATTGGCCGAGGCCCAGCTGTTGTTGTCATGAGACCAGTCATCATCGACCAATGACAGGCGCGTATTCGCCGTGGTCTGATAGTACGTCAACCATCAGAAGCTTCTGTGTCATTTGAATAAACCGCGCCCCCTAGCTTCATGAAAAGAAGTGGACAAATTCAGCACCTCAGAAATAAACAATGAGGAGATTAAATTAGTGAAACTCAGTCAATAGTGTGGACATGTTGATTCAAATAATACTTAAATAACTACTGAATCATTTATTAATTTCTTTCACAGCATTGTAGTTTGTATTCTTGTACTTATTTTATTTTTCATCCTTTTTTATCTTGTTTTTATTCTCTATATTCTTAACTCTTATTCAAATACACGTTTAAATTGTACTTAAATGTCCTTTAATAGTATATTTCCTTTGCACTTTTTCTGGATACGTTTAATGTTTTATGTAAAGCGCAGTGAATTGCCCTGTTGCTGAAATGTGATATAGAAATAAACTTGCCCTGCTATTACATAATGCCCTTGACACTAACATAAGTTTGTTTCAGTGTTTTGTGTGAAATAAAAATGTAATAAATAAATTAGACTTGCTGTCAATTCAAAGATTTAATTAGTTTCACCGCTTTCATGTGTACAAATAATACACTTCAAAGTTATCAGGTCTTTTATGCAAATGCAGCAACAGTGCAATATTAGCTGAATTAGCTGAATATGCTTACGGTTTAATAAATACAGATAAAAATAAAAGAAATGCAGCATAAGGTATAATTGATTTGAAAGTCTCAAAAACAAAATATACTCAAGCACAAGCCACTGCAACTTCAGACTTTATGTTCTTGTGGTAATAATCTAATAAAATGAAGTGACACAGTTGAGGTACTTGCAGAAAACACATCTAACAACAACAGAGGACAGGAAATGAGGCCAAAGTATTCAGTCAAGGGAGAATGCTTTCGGTTTTGTTTATTTCACTGCAACAAAGATAACACACTAAAGAATTGTTGTTACATTTCCAGAAGCTGAAAACAAGTGCTGGTGGTTGCTAAAAACAGTGTTAATACATAACTGCAACTGTCTGGTTCACATATTACAGGATGTGACACACTGCAATAAAACCACCCACTGTCATCTGTAAGTGCAAACAGTTTAGGATTTAAATGAGAACTTAATTTCTTTTCATTTTCAACACCTACTAGTGTAATAAGATAAATTACTTTATCAGATTAATCTCACCAAGCAAACCCTGTAATAAAATGCTTAAGAAAATATCTTACTTTCTATGTACAGTTCTGCAATTCTTTTGTAAAAATACCAAAAGGAAAAAGTCAAATTTTAAACCCTTGTGAAATTCATTCATTCAGCTAAGATCTCACGGCTGAACTGTGTGACCGACATTTCTGACAGCATCTGACAGCCCAGTTTCCTGAAGCAAATATCTCTTTTTATTTACTCATTTGTTTAAATGTGCATGAAGACATCAGGTCTGCTTCACAACCAACCAGTCAGGAGATGAGTTACAACCTTATAAAAAATTGAGTGAGATAAAAACGTGTTTGTCTTTATTAGTCATCCCACACAGCACTGCAAATGTCACTGAACTCATTCACCAGACTCAAACAGTTACAAACAATATTTGCAATTACAATTTTTGCACTCTTATCTGTTATAACTTGTGATTGTATCTTTGAGATGTTTGCATTTCCGTGGCAAAGCAATATCTCTCACTGAAAGAAGCTACTGTGAAGTGAAGGAAAAAATATTAAGTCTATTTTTATTTATTCCAGTAGACCTCGTATGACTTCTTCTCTGTGTAACTGGCTTCTGTTGTCCCTGTGCCACATCTGACTTTTTCCTTTACTACCTTCACAACAAGACCTCCAGCTAGGGCAATGCCTGCTGCAGCCTTTCCTATCTCAGCCACTGCAGTCAGGATGCGTGTCGTTGCTGTCATAGTGCCCCAGGGGTCTGACACAACCCTGCTGGCCGCTGACGCCCCACTGGGCCCTGTTAACCCACATACAGCACCAGAGGACCCAGCAGCCACTGGGACATTCGCAGCCACCTCCCGAGCCAAGGCGGCTCCGGTTGTAGCACACTGAGGCGCCCCAGCACCTGCAGCCACACTCCCTACAGTGGCCACTGCGTGCTGCCCTGCTGCTGAGGCTACACTACTCTGAGCCACAGTGGCATTGGCTACACCTGCTGCCCCTACTGATGCAGCTCCACAGACGGCTCCTGTGCTGAAAGCTGCTCCCTCCAGAACTGCACCTAAAGCAGCTCCAGCTCCCATGGCGCCTCCCACACCTGCTGCCACTCCCACAGCAGAGGCCCCTATGGCACTAACCTGCCCCAGAGCATCCAGAGCGCCCTCCTTAGGACTGGAAGCTTCAGCACCAGCAATGGCTCCAACAGAGCCACCCAGTACTCCACCTGTTGCTGCCCCCAGAGCAACTGCGGTTTTACCTGTGGCTGCTGCCACTATGGCCCCCACAGCTTTCCCAACACCTGTGCCTCCTGCTACAGACATCCCAGCTAACTGACCTGCTGCAAAACCAACTGAGTTCCCCACAAAAGATGCCCCGGCTGCAGCTGCTAAAGGAGCAGCTGCCCCAAACACCGCCCCCACAGCCATGCCTGTGGCTCCAGCAGCCACCAGGATCTTAATTCTCTCCAGCACCTGAGCAGAGAGCGCAGCCTCCCTCCTTGTGCGAATCAAGGATGAATGGAAAGACTGTCGCCTGCTCAAGGCCCTGCTGCCGTCTCTGTGCCTGCCTCTGAAGTGGTCCCTACACTGATCAACTCTGTCTCTCAGGAAGCTGAAGGCGTTCCCTCTGCTTTCCTCTGTCCACCTCTCCATCCTAAAATCCTCATCATTTCCTCTCTCCAACTCCCTCCTCCGGACCCCCTGTGATCCACTATTGGTGCTTTCTGCTCCATTAGACTCCAAGTCACACTTCCTTCGCTTTGCAAGTTTAGCCTGTTCTCCCATGCTGCTACTGTTATTGTTCCCCCCCTGTTCTTCCCCCTCTGCTTCCCCTCGCTCCCTCAACATTCTTTTCTGCTCCTCCCTGATGGCAGCCTCTGCTTCTAAATACATGGCATTAGTATAAAACCCATGTTTAGTTTGCTTTGCCATCTTTTCCACCTTCATTAGGAGCTCTTTAACCTGCACTGAGTTACTGGGGTCCTTGTTGTTGAGTACATGGTACCTGCCCCCACACCTGTCAATCAGTGCCTTAAGCCCAGCAGGTGCAGTCTCTCTCAGGTAATCTTCAAACCCCATGCCCTCTAGCTCATCACCCCTGGTAAAAAGAACCACTGTGTGGTGACGGATTGCATCCTCTCCGAATATCTTGGCCAATTCGCAGGCAGCCTGGTTCTCATGAGCTGTGTATCGTCCTATCGGCACCACCAGGAGGAAAGCGTGTGGCCCAGGGGCAGAGAGAGACACACATTTAGCTATCTCTGAATGAATCTGCTCCTCGCTGAGGTGAGTGTCCCCAAACCCTGGCATGTCAACCACTGTGATTCTCCTCATCCTCCTCTGTGTGACAGTTTGGCCCTCCTTCTCAGCATCCTCTTCCTGTGCGAGCTCAGTGCTCCCAAGCTGGCAAATCTGGGTGACAGAGCTAGCGCTGATCTGTGACAGGAACTGCCTCCGGCCCAGGATGGTGTTTCCAGACGCGCTCTTGCCAGATCCAGTCTTTCCAATGAGGACCAGCCTGAGTTCTTCATTCCATCTGGGTTCAGAGTCGTCTTCATCTTTCTCGCCCCCCATTTCAACCGACTCTTTTTGTCCTCTTCCTAATCCCCTGGTGGAAAAACTGTACAACATAAAGTGTCTGTAAATTACTGGGACTTTTGATGTTTCATTTTGATAGGTTCACAAAAATAACATAGGCTGGCTAATATACACCATTTATTTAATTCATTTACATGCAATGTTGGAACGTAACCAACTACCTTTACTAAACTGGGTTCCTACATCTTAAGGCAAGTTAGACTGAAGAATTTTTAAGACTTCTTTTATGCCACTCTGAATGTAATTTTAGACCAATTTCACAATAACAAAAACTGATAGAACAAAAACATGAGCTGAGTCCTTAGGGTTAGGGACAATTTTGCCCATATTGCCAATAATTTTGAGATTTCACGATGTAACATTAGAGAAAAAAAGGTTCATAAAATCCTACTCCCAATGTCTTTGCATTTTTTGAGACTGCTGAAAGAATGATTTAAGACATTTTAATACCAAGTAAAGGGGAACACCACCTAAATTAAGAATTCTAATATGTTATTCCCAGGGCCAAGGAAAGCTTACTTAATATTTGTGAACATGAGCTGCTCTCTCTCAAAGCCAGAAACAACAGAAGGAAGTCTCAAACTTGTGATGTCATCAAGTATAAAGTCTGGAGCTTCTCCGTAGACAACAGATGGGAGCCGAATTTTATGGACAAACAGAATGTTTGTTTTCTTTTTTATACCCAAATGACCTTTATTGTACTGCAGTGTTCTCAGTTGTGAAACCCATGTACCCAATATACTCTGGACATTCCTCTGGGTGCTCTCAGTTCCATCTATTACATCTTTCACCATTCATTATCTATGCAGCAGCTCCAGACTTTTTACCCTATGACATAACAAATTTGAGTTTAGCACGCTAGTTTCTGTTTTTTTGGATGTAGTTGCTTGTGTTTACTAATATATTAGGGCTGTCTTAGACCATAGGAAAATTACCAGCCTGTACGGGTGTAGTTCCCCTTTAAAAACAAAACTGAAGTACGTAAACTGTACTTTTGTTTTTCCATTTTATGCACCTTATGAATGCTAGTCCCCTGCTTCTTGGAGGCAAATATTGTACTTTATACCCCACTAAATATATTTGACAGCTTTAATTACGTTGCAGATTGAGATTGCTAATACAAAATGTAATGAACTAATAAATTATGATATATGGATTAAGCTACCCAGCAGTAAAGTAGCTCCACTGTTGCCAGCTACAACATTAAAGTGATATACACATTAATGCATCAATAATTATAATACAGTAGCAGACATTCTGCACAATGACAACTTTTACTTTCATTATTGTAGGTACATTTTTATGTGACTACTTTTGTACTTTTACTTGGGTACGATTGTGAATGCAAGAGTATTATTACACTGTATTATCATATCATATTATCATTTTACTTGAGTAAAATATATTAACACTTCTTCCACCACTGGTTACATATCACAAGCCCAGGACAGTCACAGCTGCATAGGTGACATTTTCAGACCAATTAAGGCCTTATTTTTAGTGAATTTTTAATGAATTCAACGTCTTTAAAACTTTTTAAGGGTCAGTGGAAACTCTGCCCGAGCCCCGCCCAAGCGCTTTATTTAAACACAGATCTCAGTTACTTTTTCTTTTCATTTCCTTTTTATGCTACTTTTAACTTCTGCTTCACTACATTCTGGAGGCCAATATTGTACTATCTGCTCTGCTGCATTTATCTGATAGCATTTATTACTACATACTTTGAAGATTTATATTAGGCCTATTAATACAAAATATAATCAACTAAATAAATTAGCACTACAATTATGATATAAAGTTATAATTATGGATTAAGCTACCCAGCAGTAAAGACAAAATGTAGCTCCATTGTTGCCAGCTACAACATTAAAGTGATGTACACATTAATGCATTTTAATTATAATGCAGTAACATAATATCTATGAATCTGTAAGGAGACATTCTGCACAAAATGTACTTTTACTTTCATTATTGTAGGTAAATTTTGATGCTAATACTTTTGTACAGTTACACAAGTATGATTGTGAATGCAGGACTTTCACTATTAAGGCAGTATTTCTGGATTGTAGTATATTAGTGCCTATTAGTATAATTAATTTGCTTGTGCCTATTAGTATACAATATAATAAACCAATAAAATCATGACATAAGGTTATGATTATGGATTAAGCTACCCAGCAGAACTTATTAAGATTAGCTCCACTGTTATCAGCTGCACCTTTAAAATTGGTAGTATATTATGATGCTGTGACTTCAGCACGACTTTGAATGCAGGACTTTTACTTGTAACAGATTACTTTTGCAATGTAGGATTGCCTCTTTTACTTAAGTAAACTTAAATATAGTAGTATAAGAATACTTCTTCCACCACTGGTGACATGTCACAAGCCCAGAAAAGTCAGTGTGTGTCAGGAAATTTCTGGACAGTCAAAACATCTCAACTGAATAGTTGTGCTAATGTTATGAAGGTTAGCCAACGTTACATAATGTACAAGTGAGCTAACATAGCTACCGTTACCCACTGGCATTGCTATTAATAGCTCAGATACTACCAAACGATAACTACATTACAACTAAACTCAAACATCAACGCAGAGATCAAGTTTTAATCTCAAATGTCACGCTGTAACCGCTGCTATCTGTTAGCATGGCGACGCTAGCTAATTTTAACCTACATTGACAGCTAACAGCTAATTCAACATTAGCAAGCTAACGTTAGCAGGTTGCTGATTTATTACGGAAATAGCAACAATCACGACATGAGGAAATTATCTCACCAGACTTCGTGTTATTTGACACCTCTCGGTCAAAGATGTCGAGTCTTCTCTGCATTCAAGCTCCCGTTATCTTGAAGCTACAGTTACATGTTGTGTTCAGCTCAGTTCATCCAAAACAAAAACACTGGACTTTTAGTTGTAGAAAGTCAGTTTGGTGACGGCCTGCCCTCTGTTGGCTGATCTCTACAACTGGCTCTGACTGACACAGACAGACACTGGGAATAAATTAATAAATAAAGATGGATTGATAGTTAGATATAGATACAGATAAAGATATACTTGTCTTATGTTGTTACATAAACTGGTGTCAAAAATATATATATATATATGTGTGTGTGTGTGTGTGTGTGTGTGTGTGTAATTTTTTTGGACAGCAGTTTATAAAACAACAACAATATATATATATTATTTATTATTACATATATTGGACAACAGTATATATTCATACATGACACAATATATATATATATATATATATATATATATAGAGAGAGAGAGAGAGAGAGAGAGAGACACAGACAGAGAGAGAGAGAGATACTTATGTTGTTATATAAAATGTTGAAAAAATATATATACATCTTTTTCAACAGCAGTTTATATAACATGTGTGTGTATATCGATCAATAGATCGGTAGATATAGATATATTTGTGTTATCTTGTTATATAAACTGTCAAAAAATCTATATATACATTTTTTCGACAGCAGATTATATAACATAACACAAGTGTGTGTGTGTGTGTATATATATAGAGATAGATCTATAGATACAGATATAGATATACTTATGTTATAGAAACTGCTGCCGAAAAAATATAAATTAAAATTATAATATATGTTATCATACAACTATATATATTATTAAATTAAATATAATTAAATATTTTATATATATATATTTTTTAATTTTCCGACAGCAGTTTATATAACATAACACAAGTTTGTGCATGTACGTATATACCGGTATATACACATAGATAGATATATAGATATAAATACAGATATTGATATACTTGTGTTATGTTGGAATATAAACTGTCAAAAATAAATTGTGATTTTTTTTCAGTAGCAGTTTATATAACATAACACAAGTCTTGATAAAGCAGAAGAATTTCCTCTGCTGTTTAGATTTTTTTTTTTTTTTTTTTAACTTAAGAACTTTGTACATCTTGATAAAGATAAAGTGACATATAAGCACCATGACTGTCAGGGGGAGACTTGAGAGAGAGGGAAAGAAAATAGCAGTCAATTAGATTTGCTAAAATAAACATCATCAGGTCTTCTTTATTTTACCTCCACAAAATCAGGTTGTAAGGGTCTTAAGTATTTCACCCACTTAGCCAAGGATTTAAACACATTTTTCTGAAGATGAAGAGAAAAGGTGCAAAAGTATCTATCCACTCCTCTGTTGTGGGGGTTCAGGAAGCAGCCAGCACCTTGTGAGGGCTTTCTTGCAAGCAGATATAAAAATACCAAACATAAATTTGTCAGAACACTTTGCCTTGAAATCAGTGCAAAATACATGTATTTTTTGTACATATCAGTCACTTTATTTCATTAAATTTTGATAACAAAATGGCTTGTTCATTCTGCAGCAATGATATTCTTTCTCTGAATATACATATAATTTTATAACAGTCGTAATACTATTTCAAAATTACATCAATCTGAATTCCATAGATCTAAACCATTAAAATATGTTGATTTCCAGCAAAGATGAACAAAATAAAGACTAAAACAAACAAAAAATGAACACAGGAACAGGCGCAGGGCTGTAAGATGAAGGGTAAGATGTATATCTGGCTGACAGATTTTCCCCATCAGGATAAAATAATGTTTATTATCTCAGGGTCATTAAACTGAAGCAAGATTGGAGTACAAAAGAAAGCGAAATATGTAGGAGCAAACACTCACCGATGATCCCATTTGATGAAAGTATGAAAAAATGACATTAAAAAATAAACAAAAGACGGAATATTGTCCTTGAGGCAAACATACGATGTATTCTCAAAACCTTGAGCAGCAAAACCAAGATTCATAAACATACCTCTAGAAATCTCTTCAACAAACTACACTTCAAGGAAAAAATTGTCTTCCATCATCAATACAAGCTAACCAGAAAAAAATGAATTTAATAGGGGAAGGACAAATTTATATTTGGCGAATGTGTATTTGAAGCATATGGGTTTGAGACACATTAAATCTAGACCAGACACAATACAGTGGGGTTTTGCAAAGTTGTTTTTTTTAAGATTATACTAAAATTAATTATATTCCAAAGTACAGTTATGTAATCCTCAAGTTATCAAAAATGAGTTTCCCTTATCACCTCCTACTCCAGAGACCTCTTTTACCTCCTATACAACATTACATTTTCCAATTATACATCACTGTAGACGCACAGCGACTCAACCTCCACTTCCAGTTTAGTTTTTTGTGTCACCTTGAAGGTCCCTCTCTTGTTTTCAACAGAGCACCTGGCTTTTGTACAAGTCATGACAGCTTTAATTTCCTTCACTGTCGTCGGAGTCTACAAGTCAAGCCACCCCTTGTGGACTGTGCATATGCTCCTTCCTTCTTCGTACTCTGCTCTCCGCAAGCACTGAAGAGCGGCGCTATAGCTCGGTGCGGGAGCGGGAGATGCGAGGGCCTTTCCTGATTTCTTTCCTCTTCTCTTCTTTCCTCCTCCTCTTCTCCTCCTCCCTCAGGATCTTCTGGAAAGCCTCGGCAGTGTGGAGCACCTGACGCAGATGAGTAAAGGTTAGAGAGACAGACTGTTACTGAGGCTATGTGGGAGATGTTATTTTTGGGGCTTGTTTTAAAAAACAGAATGATAAAGCAACGTTCTGTCTGTGTTACTGTTGTTACTGGTTGGAAAGATGGATATGTTAAAGGGTGATACTGTATGTAACCTTTCACTTGTAATTTTGGGTCAGACAGACTTTTACTTTGGGCTATAGCAACTCAAATTCAATGGTGGCTAGTCTGTCTCTGGAGCCACCGTCCACTCTCCTCCTGACAAAGTAGTGTCCTAGAGGCAGGTAGTGAGAAGAAGGGACCAGGGGTTTGCGCTAGCTAGCTAAGTGTCTCATTTGTCACAGTAAATTCATCAATTAAGTGCCCCATATCATAAATTCAATACTCCCGGTGCTGTAAAAACATCCTAGAGTAACAAAGACATGAAATTTATTGTAGTTTTAGCCGGCTAATGTTAGCTAACATTAGCTTACTTGCTAAAGCAGATGAATTGCTAGCTAGCAAACATAACTAAATACCGTCTTGAGTAGCTAATGTCAGCTATCAATCCAGGCTCCTGGGACTGGTTTGCAAATTACTTTATCAGCCGTTACGAAGCAAACAACGCCAGATGCAGTGTAGCTAAGTTACAACTAGCTAGATAAGCTAACCTGCTAGCTAACGTTATCACTATATTAGTTGGCTAGTTTGCCAAATTACTTCACCAGCTAGCGTTATCCATGATACTAACTTATGTATTATGACAAATGTGTTGATTTAACCATAAATAAATTATGTAACGGTACAAAGCAAAGGTGTATTACCAACAAATGCTTTCTACTGGCCAAGAGCGATGCAATGCAGGGGCAACCTACTAGCTAACCATAACTTAAGCTAAGGTTAGCCAAAGAGATGTAAAGCTACACTGCATGGATCTGCTGTTGGTTGCTTCGTAATGTTAGCTAATATAGTTATTAGTAAATGGCAAGCTTGTTGGTGTCAGGGAGCCAATGGTCTACATATATGTGAAGTATTACAGATAATAACCAAAGAGAACTGGATACAGCGAAGGAGGCTGGGCCCCATTTATTCCTATAAAAGTTGCTCAGTGGTGCAGGAAGCCAAAAACTTTTATTTTCTGCATTTAGAATTATCTGGATGATTGGCACTGCTTCTACATCATTGGGCCCACAGAGCAAGAACATTAGACTCCTGCTAACCGAGCCTGACGGTAACATTACTCTAAATGTGACTAATTTATTTTCCAGCATTCTATCAACATGATGCCAATCAATCATGTTTATCCTTGTGTATGTCTTCTCACTGTTTTGGCTGGTGCCCAGGTGCTCGCTTGCGCCTACGTGGTGCAAGCATGAGCAACAGGATGCTGACTGCAGCTGAGTTAACGGCCAACAATGTCATTAATAACGAGGATTTCATTAAAGTTACATACAGAACCTTTAAGAGACACCAAGAGGCAAACAACATGCATGCATCTTACTCACATCGTCTCTCTCTGTGCGGTACGGGTTTGTAAAGTCTGGGGATTTCTCTGTTATTCCCAACTCCTGTGACATCTGAGAGATGAGCAGAAAAGACAGATGACAGAGGAGAAGAGGAAAAGGGGCACATTATCATTTTTTTTAAAAGAGATAAGGAATGCAAATGAAACACTGTCGCATCCCTTATTCTGCAGATAAAAAGCAATATGAGGCAAGCAGCTGCAGACACAATCGATATTTCCTCTGACTACTATAACTTATTTTATCATTTAATGATTTCAGCTTTAGACCCCATGAGTTACCCGAAATAGATAGCTGGCGATCAGACACTAATAGTGGGGTTATTGAGGCACAAGTGAGGGCTGGATACACAATTTCAGGGCGCTAACTGCCACTGCTTGGAGTGTCAGAATTAATCCACAATATAATCCTCTTGGCACATTGCTAAGGTCACAGATTAATCCTGCAAGAGTTTAGTTCATTAACCCACACATTAAACAGGGAATACCATTTTATCTGCTTTGCTCTTTTGAGTTTCAAAGGCCACAATACATCATGCACTAATTTGATGACAAATGACACATTTTGCAGTGACGGCAGAGCAGCATTACCTGACACTGAGGATGTGCTGTGTGCTCTGTCACATCTGTTCACCAGCCACATTAACACCACTGTTGCACTGTGTATCGTATTGACATGGTGTACATGTCTCACTATACCATCCTGCAGAGTAAAGTGCTCATTTCGTCACGCTTTTATATCAAATTCTGCGAGTAGACCTCACAATAAGGAAGCTTCACATAACATTTTGCTCAGATTCAAACGTACAGAAGATTGCAACAAGAAACTAAACTAAATCAGTCCTCAATATTAAAGCCAATTTAAAGTGGAAATAAACAAGTTTTTTTTGCTTTAACTTCTCATTATGAAGTAAATGTTGATTGCACAATCTAATGGCTATAGAATAATGACACCATCTGCGTTTAGACTGGTTGCCTCTGAGCCTTGCTTTCACTATGCAATTCTGTCTGCCATCGGGTACGATCTCCTGGGAAAAAGATTGCTTAATTTACGGTACAAATGAAGTGCATTAACCATTGCACAACCAAAACAGAAAGAGAACAGCACTTCTGTGTTCCCAGTAGCTATCGACAGCCGTCCCCAGTTACCAGAAATGAAATTCTTTGCAGTTACTGTCCCAACTAGTGGAAACTGTGGACGGTGGAACAACCAAAGTAACTGTGGAAAACAAAATAGAGTGTGACAATGTTGTTGGTAGTTGCTGGGCTATGTTGAAAAAGGAAAGCGTATTACCAGGGTATTTGGTATACGACAGTATTTGTGTGTGGCACTAAGAACTCAGACTAGCTTGTTAACTTATCCTATAACACTTCATTCCAACTAGGGGTGCTGCAATTCAACTTTTTCACTTCCGATCCGATACCGATACCACAGCCCTAGTACTGATCCGATACCGATCCGATACCAGCGCATATTTCTATCTCTCTGTTCTGACCAATAGGTTCACTTTTTTTTAGTACTTATTTTGTAATGTGGAATAACAAAAGGCTTGATCAAGTGCTATGACTCAAAATGAGAATAACATACTTCCCGAGATGAATAGTCCACAACAGTAGGTTATTATGACAAAACTTTTACACGTTTATACATTTAATACACGTTTTGCATTCAGCTGTTCCGTCTTTTTCGCTTTTCAGAAGGAAGTACTGCCACACCGCTGACATTTTTTTCAACTATCCACGCTGTTTTTCACCCGCTTGTTGTTATCACGTGACCTCCCCCTCCCGCTCTCCTCTCTTCTTCGCGTGTTACAATGAAGTGCTGGATGGAAAAGCTGGAGCGGATTTGTGGACTGAAGTGTTAGTATCGCAGTGCTAGTATCGTACTTTTCCCCTGCAGTGTGATCTGATCCACGTTTTTTGGCTGGATTGCAGCATATTTTCAATCCGCGATCCGGATCGCAGCATCCCTAATTCCAACAATAACCAACTTTGGTTTCGTTGAAATAAACCCTTAATTCACAGAGTTAGAGATTAAAATATGCTGTTTATCCCCTGGGTCTCTCTCTGCCATTGTTAGCCCGCTGCCTACAGTCCTGTAACCTTATCCCCACCTCTTAAAGATGCCACGTCTGTTAGCTCCGCTGCCTGTTCCAACAGTAGAGGCTGACCTCTGGTGGCATGTGCTGTGCACTACATACGCTGCATCCTAAATACAGCATATCCATATGAGTTTAATAGAAAGAGGAGTGTCTGTATTTTTGACGTAGGGCTGGGCAATATAACAACTATGTACGATCAATAGATATTTTCAAGCAAGATATAAATTTAGACAACACCGTTTATATCAATATAGAGTCAAGTTGTGTTACATGACGCATACCAGTGTGCATCTTTAACTCTCCACACAGCTCCACTCCACTCACTCACTCACTCACTCACTCACTCACTCACAAGTTCTCCAGCAACACTTTATAGAGCCGTAGCCTGACGTGCACCTCTCCAGATATGTAACTACACGTCACAGTGACACAGATCTCCTGTTTATGTTTGTAGCTGAAACCATTTCCCTCAGTGGAAATGGAGCTTTTACTTTAATTTCACAGATAAGAAACAATAAATTGTAAAGACAATAAAGCCTCTACAAAATAGTATTTTAAGTGTGATTTATCCTGGCTTCATATGAGCAGAGGAAATCTCCGCTCGTAGCTAGGCTAATTAATACACTGTAAAATGCTATAGGCTTGTGCTAATAACATTAGCATGTTATATTTGTTTGGAAAACGTGTTTTTTGTTTTGTCGGTCAAACTAGTGAGCTGTAATGGAGCTGAACTTTGTAACGTTACCTTTGTTCAGTGTTGCTGTTGTCCCTGGCTTCATGTGAGTGGAGGTACAGGGTAATAAAATCCCTGTCTTTGCATTTTATTTTGATCATAGTCTGTTTTTATAAAACTGCTTGTGACATCTCAAATGTGGCTTTGATTTGCAACTGAATACATGTAGCTCATTTCCTAGAAAATACCGATATATATGTGTATATAT